AACAGCCTCTGCAACACGGAACACCACAGTCACACCCATGGCCTTAGCTGTCCTATCCCCATTAATTGAAATATTGGGAGCATCTAGTTCTCTGCATCCAGACACACCCAGCAGGGCTTGTGGTGCTTCTCCCCCATTACTGGAGCCCTGAGGCTAGTTAGAGGTTCACTCACCACAATCAGATCCCAAGGTCCCTACAGAAAGGAACCTCTTGCCAATATGGGAGTCTTTCTGCTGTAAACTATATTCTTTTTTGAGGCTGGGCTGCCCTTCCTCCATTAGAAGTGTTTAGAAGATACTCTGTCTCCCCCAACTTTCAATGGCAACCAGCAGGAAAGTGTTCTTGACAGTGGATCAGCATTCACAGGAGTAGCCAGATTGGCTCACACAGTAAGGAAGGGACACAGCCTTCTCTGCTCTTCTCTGCTTTGCTAATCCAATCCATGGTTATTTTAAGCATATATACTAAAATACCTCTTGACAAATGAGACATGAAACAAATGAGTTTTTAAAACAAACTTTTAGTGCAAATGCATACATGGCCATGCTGGGCACAGGTGAGTAGAGAAAAGGTTTTCTTTCTTGGCTGAGGAGTAGGAAAAGGGCAATGTGGCAATGCTTTAAGCAAGTTGCCCTGTTACTCCTTCCTGGCAATGTTAAAATAGCTCACTTCACAAATACAGGCATTTGAAGACCTTTTAGGATCAACTATGTATGTATGTATAGAGAGGTGGCTGGGCCACTCTTGAAGTTGTTGATCTGAAAAGGCTAGGATGCACTACACCAAGGCTGAGGTGACACTTTCAGTCCCCTGGGTCCTCCCTTTGCCCTTCTTCACTGTGCTCTAAGCCCTGGGGCTTACCTCTCTACACAGCTTCTCTTGATGCCCTTGTCTTTGGCTTTCAAAAGAGCTAATAAGAGGACAAATCAGAAACATGCAAGAAAGAAATCAGGTCCTTTTGGGGTCATGAAAAGGCAACTGGATCCCTCCATTGAGACTTTGAGACCACAGAATTGATCTTCATTGTTCCCCAGCTGCTCTGACTTCTGCCAATCTCATTTGCCCTTCACCCCTTCTATATCACATAGACACTAACAGCTCCTGTTGCTGCCCGTCCTGGGAACTTGCAACCTTCCTCTGCTAGCTGGCCTAACCCTGCCTTCATCTTCATAAATACCCTGTGCCAATGCCCCTCACTGACTCTGCTTGACTGTGCCATCTGCTCTACCGGTATCCTGACTGAGAAGTACTATAAACATGTCTGTCTGTTAACCAAGAACAATGGGCCTCTCTAGCTTAGATCTGTGCGCTGGATAGAAGTTAGGGAGGCAGACTCAGAACATGCTGTAGTCTCTTGCTGTTGGGGCCTCTGAGATATTCTTGAGCCTGCTGTCTCCCGGGGTATCCAGCCAGGGAGTCTTGCCAAAGGTTAGTAGCAACAATGAAAACATTCTAAAGGTTTCAACCTCACCCACTGGGAGTGGTTCTCTCCTTGGAATCAAAGCTGTTAGGTGCATTTGCAGATTAGAGGTCATATGTCCCACTTCTCCAGACTCTGAGTGGGATACCTGGGTACCTACAACTAAGTGGCTCTCCCAAGGCCTTCCTGGAGAGGGCACAAGGATAGGGGAAGTGCATAGGCTTGCTGAATTCATCTGACCCCCTTTCATCCTCAAGAGGGAGCTGGAGAGAAATCAGGGCTTGATCTGAGATATGCTTCTTCTTGGCCTGTGTAGAAGCGGCAAAGTTTACTGAGTGACGGAAATATCAAGAGCAAGACAGTGCAATAGTATTGCGCTGTCGTCCCTGCAGGGAGCCCAGCTGCTTGTGCTTTCAGAATGGCAGTGAAAACTACTGTCCCCCACAGGAAGGACAAACAAAAATTGCCGCCCTGACCTCTGTGGCATAAATGTAGGGCCCTGTGACTGGCAGGCATCCAAGACCCCACCTGCTGTCAGATAGCTCTGACAACTCTGCTGTCAAAGTTCTCCTGCAAAGACCTATGTCTTTTAAAATGTAGTACATCATCCCAGTCCAGGGATGAATTCTCTGTTGTGCGGGAGAAAGCCTTTTGGAGCATCCTCACTTGCTCATCCAACTCCAGTAGCTAACATACAGACTGGCCATGCTTGGTTCTCAAGGCCAGTGTAGCTCTCAAAGGCCAGGCACTAGCAAAAGAATAGGAGTTTCAAACAGGAGTGAGCTCATGTCCTTGATCTTATTACAGTTTCATGGGTATGGCCAAGTTCACTCTTATGAATCTCAAGTACATGAAATTTCTGGGTCAAAGCCTCCAATCAACCCTGTTAGTGCCATTCATCTCTTAAAGCCTCTCTACAGCTTGGTCTCCAGCTGCCAGCTTATTCATTTTCTCCTCTTTTCCTCTCCATCCAGAGCAGCTTAGGCCACAGCAATGATGATGAGCATGTATGCACAGAAGTTCCCACACTGAGCTCCCTCTCTCTGTGTACCTAGCCATGTTGGTCTGCCTCACTGCAGTCCGGAAACAATGGAGTATCTGAATTGGAAAGTCTGAAACCATGAGCCAAGTTGCTTCTTAAATAGTTCCAATTTGTTACAATTGCAAAGTCAGACTAATACACTGTTCATTTTACAGATGCTAAAGCACTTACCTAAAGTCACACACAAAGTCTTAGACGCCATAAACATAACTCTTATCTGGGCTTTTATATTGTCTGTTTTGTCACTGCTCTTAGGAACAGTCCAGACGTTTGTTCCACTCTACCACATATACTTATTTCCTACTTTCCAAGAGAAAAGGGCAGAAGGGTCTTTTAATCAGCAGCAATTAAGCCAATCATAGCAAGAGTCAATAAACACTTTCCTAACACACCCAGTTTTGCTATATAGAGACTGTTAGTTCTTTCAAAAGTTGTGCCCTCTTCCATTGCAGAGAGATGAAGCTGGAAAACAGTTGTTGAGACAACTGGTACATTTCCCCAAAACCCTTGCATCTATGTGGGGTCACATGGTGGTCAGTGGATAAGGGCAGATGTCCTCATCTGGTCCTTGGAAACCCAACCTGCCATTCCTGAATGACTTTCTCAGAGAAAATGAAGCACTACAGAATGGTTGGAGTGACACTTTCCTCAGTTTCTCACAAATATTGCACACATAGAGCTATTCTAATTACATAGGAAATAAGTGAATTCACTGTGCACCATGCATACCTTATAGCTTTAGGGATCCATTCTCTGCTAGAACTGGGTCAAAAGGACGTTTCTATCTCTATTCCCTTATATGCTTATATGCTGCTATATGTTGCTTCCCAGAGAGACTTTTGGAGCTGCTTGCTGGAGCTAATACAGTCTGCCAGCCAAGATTTCTGAATGACTAAACAGAATATGTGATTCCCACCCCAGGACAAGATATGATACAACAAGACCATAAATTTGGAGTGTGTTGAGCTATTGACATTTTGGGGTTTTGTCATAGCACCTAACATTATCTTAAATTAATACAGATGGTACAAAATCCCAAGCTAAAGAGAAGAGCTGGGCGTTCTTTGGAGCTAATCCATCTTTTCATGGCGTGGAGGGGGGTCTTTTAGGTCCCTGGAGCTAAAAGTAACAAAACACCTTCTAATTCCCAGAGGATGAGGACAGACTTAAGTTTCCCAGAGGAGAGACACACAGTAGATTCACACAAGGAAGATGAAACATAGAGTAAGCTACTGTTGCCGTGTGTGTGTGTGTGTGTGTGTGTGTGTGTGTGTGTGTGTGTGTGTGTCACAGAACAGACTGTGCTGGAGGAGACACAGTACAGTCTCGTAGGAAGACATAGCACAGACTATCATGAGGGACACACACACAAAGCAGTTTCCTTAGGAGGAGGGAGACATAGTACAGTCTCCCACAGGAAGAGTAACTAAGGGAGAAACAAGGCTGAATTGATGCTCAGAATGGACCAGCTGCTTCCAAATGTTCAAGGGCTTAAGGATCAGCAAGAGGGTAGAATAAAAGGTGATGTGAGGCCTATGCCCTCAGATTCAGTGAGGACAGTCTAGGAGCCTGCATTCTTTGTTTGCAGCAGTAAATGAACTTTGAGAACAGCCGACCTGGGGGCAAGACAGTGCCCTAACCCATCAGAACTATATGACTCTCCTAGACTTACAGGTTGTAATACCAGTAGAGATTCCCTTCATGGGAAATAGGCATTGCACAAGACTGAGAAGAAGGGTTCAGGCAGGGGGGTGAATTATTTAAAATCAGACACTAGGAGTGGGCATTGGAGATGGTCTCCCCTCTGAGTTGGGTTGGAGGAGGGGGGCTTCTTAGAAGAAGAGGTACTTGGCACAGTAGTTACAGCTTTTCCGGCATCCTAAATCCTCACTACCTGTGTTTAACATCCCTCGAGAGCCTATATTCTATTCTGACAATTCCTAACCTCAGCTCCTTGCCTCCCCAGATTTCAGCTCCCTAAGAAAGTGGGTATCAACCTCCGTATGCTTTCATAACTGGTTGAGGGCCCCATTTTCAACTCTCTTCCCTCTGGAACCAAGAAGCGGAAGTCTGATACACATACAGAATTTACAGCTGGATGTAAGGCCACACCTAGAAGTCACTGAGCAGAGGCTACACAGCCAAACCATCTGAACCTTATAGGACAGTTGAGTGCTACCAATCAGGAAAGACAGCTCTCTGCTTCCACTGTTTCCTTCCTCTCTCAAAAGGAGCCAGTGCCCCACCTGGGGAATATCCTTCAAAACTTGAGGGGCTGAGAGAACAGCTCTCAATGCTGCCCAAAAGAGGATGCCTTACAATCCAGTCTCAGTGTCAGGCTGGGCAGCCCGCACAGTCGTGAATATACTTGGTAGGATGCTCTAACAGGCTAAGAATCAAGAGTGGGAAAACACCCAGAGAATACAAGTAAGGCACTCCTGGCTCACACAACTGCAGCTGCAATAAGACTAACTGTATCCTGGCCGGTCCCCTCCCTCTCCTGTACATAAACGACTCCTCTGGGGCCCTGCCCTTACCGGAACCGTGCCTCTGGCGCAGAAGGACTGCCTGGCCCGTTGGCGGTGACGCTGATGAAGCAGCAGCAGCTGCTGCAGCAGTGGTGGTGGCTGTGTGGGTCGCAGAAGCAGCGGCGGCAGCTGCAGCGGCAGCTGCAGCGGCAGCGGCAGCGGCCTCTGGAACTTCTGGTACAGCAGGAGGGCTCCCAGGAAGTGCGTTCTTGTCGCTGTGCCCGGGTTCAGAGGTGGTGCGGGCAGTGGCACCTGTGTTACTGGAGCTGACAGCGCTGGGGGCTCCGTGTCGACGTGGGCCACTGCTCTGAATGTGGGACACTGCCTCAGCAGCCTGCATGTTGGGCGGTGCGAAGCGCGACAGCACGCGCAGCAATGCCTGGGCCTTGTGTTCCTGAGTGTCGTCGTCGCTGTAGTCCGACACACGACACTCGTAAACTCCTTCATCCTGCAGTCGTACAGCAGACAACCGAAGGCGGTGCGAGATGTCATTGCCCTGGACACGCACGGTCTGTAAGACAGCCCGGTTAGAGGCCTGGCCAGTGAGTTCCACATCTGCTTTGGTGACTGGGACTCTTGGTCCCCCTATCACTGTGCCAATAGCAACCAATTGCCATAGCATCCCAATACATCTGAACTCGTGGCATGCGGCTCTCAGTTCTGCCTAGACACCTTGTTGCTTGTGCAAGGTGTTGGGTCTCCAATTCCCAGCTGTCTCAACTCACATTTACTCTTGCTTAAGGTTTCCCATAATTTCTCCTTCAAAACATAACTTTTCACAACTTGCAAGAAATTTCAGGCTGGGACTCTATGTCGCTAACCATCTACATCCTTCCTGCACCTCAATGCCCAGGCTAACTGCTCTGGGTCCTCCTACACTTACCCGAAATCATGCTCACTTTTACTTAGAATCCAGATAGTCTGGGGTGTGTCATCCACAACTTGCCATCCACAACTACACATCTCCTGCCCTGTAATTTACAGCTAGCCCCTGCCTTGCTTAAGACTGATCACTTGTTAGGATCCCTGACAAAGCCCTCTTGGAGTGGTGGAAATCTTAAGACTCTCACCAAACACAGGCACAACTCCTCACCTCTGAACTGGGCCTGCAAAGAGGCTTTGGTTGTTTTTAGGCCCTGCTGTTTCCATGTTCCAGCTTTACAAACTCTATACCCCCTTACCGAGTAAGAAACAGCCCCTCAGGAGCCTACAACTATGCTATCTGCTAAGGAGGAGATGGTTGAGCGGAGGGTGCTCCTGGAGATCCTGGTGAGTGTGTAGGGTGGGGCAGAAGGGGACGAGGGGGGAGGAGGGCTGGAGCAGCACGCAGCCTGAACTAGAAGCCACGCCCGAGATCTTGGAAAAAATGACAGCAAACGAAGTCAGGAGCAGGTGCACGCCAGGGGCCTGAGCAAACGGTGCAGAGGAGGGAGAGTTTTACTGGTGAGAATCCTACGAAGTTGAGGGACTCCGATTTGGAACCTTGATTTACACAAAAGACAACCTAATTCATCTACTAGCGACAGATGGCGCCCAGATATGCCAAGTAGCCCACAATGTTTCCCTGTGGTAGCAAAGCTCGCACTGCTTGGTGGCAGAGGCTTTCTAAAGGGGAGGGAGCTGCCGGGCGCAAAGCGGCCAGAAGGGGTCTCCCGCGGCCCACACTGGGCTCCACACTTACGCTGATTTTAGTTGCATCCTTATTTGTTACCTAAAATGCAGAGGGGGAGGGAGAGAAAGAGGGAGGGAAGGAGAGAAAAAGGGAGGGAAGGAGGGAGGGAGGGAGAGAGAGATTGATTAAGCTGGTGGCATTTGTACACGGGGAGACTCTGCCCTGTCTTTGATAAGGAGACTTTCTGCAGGTGGGCTGGGAGCTGAGCCACCTGAAGTGTGGCATGGTGGAGGGCACTGGATACATTAGCAGGTTTGGGGCTAACACCTTGTTTGGCTAAGTAGTGGCTGCCCTGACACACACCTGTCTGCTTGGGAGAGTAATGGTACTGGATGGCCGAGAGAGTGCAAAGGAGGGAGTCTTATTTCCTACTAACTTCCTATAAATCCTCCACTTAACTTGCAAGTGTGAAAAATTGGATGGAGTGTCCAGCATCACTGAGGCCCTGACAGTCTGGTATGTGTGGATATGGGCCAGAGGAAGATGAGAACAGGAACTCTGAGTGGGATCCTGGTGACACTGTAGGTAGGTGAATGTGTGAGTGCTCGTGTGGGTTTTGGGGCAGAGTGCAAGATTTTCCAGCCACTGAGGGTGGGGTAGCCCCTCAGATATTTGTTCTCAGATACCCTATTCTCTACCATGTAAATGCAATCTGGAGGAGTTGAACCCCGTGGCCTTGAGCCCTAACACCTTCGGGTGGCAGAGGAGAGCCTGGTAGAACCAAGTGATCTTCTTTCTCCAACCAGCACCCATCAGAGTATAGTCCCAAAGCTAGCGAGCATGAGCAGCCAAACTGGATCAGGTGTGGGTTTTTAAGGGCTGGGCGTGAAGGGTGAAGGGAGTTCCCTGAGGTTGCAGAGAAGGAAGTGGTGTAAAGAACCGACAGCCTCTGGGGACATCCCCCGATTTTGACGATGCTGTAGAGCTGCAGAGAATGGGAGGTGGCTGCGCGACAGGGCGGCGCCCTGTATGGGTAACCCTCACTTTCCCTGGAGGGAGCAGGGTAAGCACGGGTGCCACTTGGGCAGCAGGTTACCTTGCTCCGGGCGCCCGGCACGCTGAGCGCCAGCTCGTGTAACAGCTCCCGGGGAGGTTCCTTAAGGTACCACCACTGAATCTCCAGCGAGTATGAGGTGGCTCCGCTGGCCCGGAATGCGCAGGGCATTTCGATATCGTCTCCCTCCCGCACGGTTACATCTTGGGGGACTTCGGTGAATGTAGCTGGGGGCGGGAGAGAGAGGCGTGACCAGCTGAAAGGCGGGGGCTTGGGACAACCCGAGGCTGAGGCGGTCGATCTGCTCTCCGGCCTTGGGCTCCCCCCACTCCTGTCCCCAGCTACTGTGCGGCCCAGGGCAGAAGGCGCCAGCAAAGTTCAGGGAGCAGCTGCAAGGCGGAAGCAGAGATCCGCCACTTGCTGCACGCTGCTTCCCTCCGGGTCGTGCAAGGTGCTGGGCAGATAGGGCCGCAGCACTGGAGCCTGGCTGGGGCGCGCCAACTTTCGCTCGCTGCAGGCCTCCTTTGCTTGGCGGGGGGCCCGCGGAAAGACTCCCTAAGAGGACTCAACAACCGTGGCGACCCTCACCTGCTCTCGTGCCCCTACCCACTCCCAGCCTGGGTTGCACACCGGGATCGCTGGAGACCGTGAAGCCTGCCGCTTCCTTTCCTCCTCGGCTGTAGCCAAGCTGGCAGACTTCGGTGGCCTCAGCAAAGGATCCCTTGAGCCCATCGCGGCCGCGAAGTTCCCGCGCTCACCGTCGGCGACGAAGAGCAGCAGGCCGTGCAGCAGCAGAGGCGGCAGGTATCCGAGGGCGCCGAGCCGGTTCCGCTGTTCCATCTCCCGCAGGGTTGCGGCGGCGGCGGGGGCCCGGCGCGGAGAGGCGGCGGCTGCAGCAGCGTGGGCTCGGCTCCGGCTTGAGTTCGGGCTAGGACTCCTCGGAGCCTGCCATGGCCCGGCACGGCGCCCCCTCCCCTGGCCGCCGCCGGCCGCCAATCAATCCGGCTTTCTTGAGGGCTAGCCGGGCGCGGGTCAGGCGGGGGGCGCTGCGCTCGGGGTACAGGAGACGAGGTCCGGCCAGGAGGCTCCTTTAGTCGGTACCTCCTTCGGTCCGGTGGTTCACAGGAAAATGGGGGGTCCGCAGTTCAGTTTCTGCCCGGCGGGCCGGGCAGTAGCCGGGCTGCGCCAGGACCCATCCTTGGAGAACCGGGTAAGTGCCAGAGAGCTACCAGCTTCTGCTTCCCGGTCTCCTGGCTGGGCTCCCGACTGCCACCTCCTCCGGCTCCCGCCGAGCTCTCCCGCCGCCGCCCCCGCCGGTTTCTTCCCGGCTCTCCGCAAGGCGAGTGGGCGCTCAACCGCGGCGCGCAGACCTGGCGTCCGACCCAGCGCAGCACGGGGAGAGCGGGTCCAGCGTGGCCGACCCGCAGCCAGAGAGAGGCGGGGAGAGGGGGAGGGGAGAAAAAGGGAGGGGGCGGTCAGTGGATGGGCGGCGAGCAGCCTCCTCGGCGGCATCACCCCCGCCCTCCCCTCCTAGTCCGCCCCGCCCCCACCCCATTGGCCCCCATCCCTCCGCGGGGTCACTAGGAGCGACTACCGTCTTTCTGGCTGCAGCGCAGCCCCACCCCGCCTCTGCTTTGCTTAGGGGGTCCTCCCACCCAAACTCCCGGATTCTTTCCAGTGTGTCCATCCTTGGAGACAGCTGCTCCACCCTGCTTTCCTTGTGTCCCTCGACCCTCTCGGCAGCCCCCAGGGCCTCAACTCCTTACCCAGGTTTGGGCCACGAGCCACACCACTCTTTGGCCCAGACCCGGGCCATGGCGGGTGGATGGGCGCCAGGGGACTGCGAGAAGGGCGGAGCGCTGTGTCCCGGCCAGAAGCAAAGCCAGGTGACAGTGAAGACCAGGAGTCCGCAGTGTGAGAGAGGGAAATGAGCGCCCAGCGCTGGGCGAGCAGGTGCCTGTGGCGCGGAGCGCACCAGAGAGCCAGCAAGCGGCGGCCGTGAGTGACGGCAGAGGCGGTGCGGGTGGGGTGGAATGGGGAGCACCCGGCACGACTCAAGGCTCCGGAGGTTTCTGGGTGGGGGCGGTCTTCTTGCCCTGAGAGAGCTGGCCCCTGTATCCTCGCAAGCTCTTCCCCACCATTGCCCCCTCTGTACCCATTGCCAACCCCCCCTCCCGCCCCAGGCGGAAGGAGGCAGAGGTGGCGTACACAGTCGCATTCACAGCCCATCCCCCACTTTTGCATCTTCCGTGTCCCTGAACATTGCTTGGCCACCTCCTTAGCCGCCTAGAGAGTGCAGTCTCCCTTCCTAAGGGGTGTGTGGGTGGATGAGAGATTCAGTCCAGGCACAATGGCTTAGGGGGAGTCCTGGAGCTCTCCTTGGGCCTTTCTTTTCCTTGGGATTCGGGATTCCCCAGCCAGTGGTCTGGTCTGGTCTCTTAGCTTTACCTGAAGTTACTGTGGCACATCCCAGTGAACTTCCCCTGCAGGCTGGGGCCATTCTTCTAGTGTCTCTGCCAGTGGGCTAACGGCTAATGAAAAGGGAAACCTAGAAGGGAAATAGTTTTCCAGTGGCCATCCTAGTCTAAGACAAGAGGGACACAATCTTGGAGAAGAGGCTGCTAGCTAGCACTTTCTAAACTTTGCCCTCACCAGTGAAGACCATGGGCACTGCATCCCTCTGCTCCTCCTCTTCCTAATGTGACTAGTGGGTCATTTCCACGCTCTGATCACTCAATGATGCTCTTGTAAACAGAAGACCCTGTAGACCTTTCCTCCAGGGTTCCCATTGCCTGCTCCCTCTACATATCATCACCATTGGCCTGCCTTCCTCTGGACATTCCATCAGTCCTTAGAAACCAGGATAGGTCTGTGAATACAAGAACTTACAGGCCCCTTGCTGTCCTCAGCTTTTGAAGGGAGGGGGCAGACTTGTATCATGCTACACGGATGCAGAACCATAGCAGAATTCTAAGGGAGCAGTTGGGGAATTGATTACAAGCAGGTATCTGATGGCATGAGCACTATGCTTTGCCCTGTCAGGAGAGGTAGTGAGCTTCTTTCCCAGTACCAGGGCCAATGGAGGACTAATGGTCAATGACCAGGATTGCTGGAAGAAATGCCTGCAGCTAGAAGGAGTGACCTTGATCACTGTGAAGGTTTGTGGATTCTTTCCACCCATCCTCCCTGGTAATTTTGCCTCTGACCTAAGTTGGTGCTACTGTAATAGTAATAGCTGCTTACCATAATGTGCTTGTCACACAACAGAAACTGGCTGCACTTTCTATCCATCAGTTCTTAGGATGACCACTGAGAGTTCCTTCTCAAACATTCTTCCTCTACTCAGAAATCTTCAGTGGCTCCCACTCCACTCAGCCCAAATACCAGTGGTCTCCCAAGATCAAATGATTGCCTTCTCAGTCTCTACCTTCCCTTCCCTCTGCCTTCTCCTCCTTTCTGTCCTTCCCCTGGCTCACACTCCTCCCTGGTCAATGTCCTTTCTCTGGCAATGCAACACACTAGGCCCACTCCAGGGCCTTTGCATCAGCTGGCCTGGGTCCAGCTAGGATGTTCCTCTCCCAAATACTCATGCTCTGATTTTTGTCAGGAAGTCACTTTCTTAGCTAGGCCCAGCCACCTCTAACTCATGTTTAACTCTGCAGTCTGGTGAGCCCCTTCCCCAGCACTCCTTCTTTGTCCTTTTGTTCTTTTCTTTTAACATAACCACCTTTCATCATAGAATTTACTTATTGTATTTCCAGCTTAAAAGCTTTAAAGCTTTTGCCTGCTTTGGTCACTGGGGCATCTCTGGTTTTTAACACAGGGGTCAAGCACAGAGTCTGAGTTAGACAATGTGGTTTCAGCCCATGTTATGGATGAAGTAGCTGAGGCTCAGAAACTTCCCTAAGGTCGCACAGCTAGTAGGTAAGGCTTCAGCACAGGTCTGTCCGTACTTTAGTACTTTAGGTTCTTTATTTAAATAACAAAAAACCCTAAAATCTTACACACCCCTCTTCCAAGTTAAGAAAACCTAGAGCTTCTGAGAAGGAGCAGAGCCACCTGTTTAACTCTGTGTTGACAGGAGCTTCTTGCCTGCAAATGTAGATTGGAGCAGAGAGCTGTACTAGGCCAGTAATGAACTAGAACACCTTTGGGAGCATTAGGGAGTGCTCTTGGCCCCCTTTGCTGGGGTTTCCTGGTGGTAGGCAGAGACTCTGGGACTCCTATGTTGTTTTGGCCTGGATACTACCTCTGAAAAGAGAGCCAGATTCTTCCTCACCTGTCCTGGTGGGTCAGAGAGCTAAAGCAGGCAACTGTGTATGGATGTATGTATCCTCTCTAAGGAGTTACTTCTTTCTGGAGACACAGCCATTCAGCCCTACCCACTGCAAATATCCCTCCAGCACCTGTAGCAGGCATGCATCCTGTGTGTATGAGGGAAGCAGTTTCCTATGATGGGTATGTGAGAGCATTCCATGAGTGTTTGGTATCCTTCCATGATTGCTCATCAGTGGGGTGAAGAATTGTAGGGTTTCCCTCTCTCTGTGTAGTCACAGATCTGAAGTGCCTCTGGGGCCACAGTGTCCAGAGGCTTCCCATAATGTGCCTGGTGGCCTTTGAAATGGCTATGCCCATGGGCTTGTTTCTGCTAGACCTGGCCAGTGTGCCTTGGGTGCCCTTTCACACATGCCCTGATTATCTCTGCTGTAGCTAGACTGTGAGTTAGGCAAGAAGCCCTTGCCAGAGCTGTTCTGGGGATGGTGATCTCTGAAAACATCTTTAACACAGCTTTAGCAAATTCGCCTCCTGGCGTCACTTGCAAAGTTTGTTTATTTTCATGTTCCATCTTGGAGTTGAGGTTTCGATATTCCTGTCTCGGCTGACCTTTCCTGTCCTTTCCCTGCCACGTGCAGCAACATTGATTTTGGGTAATGTGTTTTGATTTTAAGATGCAGCCTATCCATAAACTTTTCTATCAATAACCCCAGCACTCTGGGTACCAGACAGCTTAAAGCAAAACATCAGATTTATGGGGACTTTTATTTTTGGGAAATGTAGTCATTCATTTGCCATCAGTGTCAGGGCATAAAGGCTTGGAGTCTGGCCCCAGGGGGACCCCACTGCAAGGACACACATCAGGTCAGGATCCACAGAGATTGCTAGAGAGGGGAAAGGTGGGGGGATTGCTTCTGAGCCAGGAGGAGGGCAAGTGGAAAAGCTTTCTGTGTTCCTTTTAACCTCCTCTGTCCAGCCTCATTGACCGACTTGGAGTGTCAGATTCCAGGAGGAGGACACCCCCTGCATTGCCACAAGAGAGGCTCTTTTATGCTCATCAGACCATGGGTTGTCACAAAGGCTGCCTGCCCTGTCCTTGTACCTTCTGCAAAGCAGGCATAGCTTTCCATCTGGGCTCAGCTGGTTTACAGAAGGAACACACAGCTGTTAGGCCCCAGGGTCTGGCCTGCCATTGCTCACTGCAGTGGCAGTGGCCCCTCACTCAGTCTACAGAGGTGGGTCTGTTTGTGAGTCTACCAGAGCCATAGTTTACTGGCCTTAGCAACTGCCTAGAGCAGGGGTATGAAGAAGGAAAAGCCCTGGGCCGGATCTACTTCATTACTTTCCAGCATTGGGGACACTTCAGAGAGCAAGACGTAGAGGGTGCTCTGCACTTAAGTGAAGAGTTGAGGGAGATGTTGGTCCAAGTTTGAAATTCAGTCTCATAGCTAAGGCTGGCCTTGAACTTGCCATATACCTGCCTTAGTTTCCTGAGTTCTAGGATCCCAGGCTTTGCACCTCCATCCCTGGTGAGGATTTTTGTGCCTAGAAGAGAGAGTCTGAGAGCTTCACATGGTGTCGGGGCCTGTGTGCAGAGCATGAGTAAGATGGTCTCCTGTGGGGTCTGCTTAGGGTGTGTTACCATCTTGAGTGCTGCCCAAGAGAGCATGATGGGAAATAGACAGGAGGATGTGACTGAGACAGAAAGAAGATCATGGGTGGAGGTGAGAGGCAGGGCAGCCTTTGGACTTGTGACAAAGATAGCAGGGAGTCTGGTGGCTTGTCTGTGGGGCTAGGTAGGAGCAGGGATACTGGCAGATCTATTCACCATTGGAGGCAGAGGCAAAGTCATTGCTGTAGACAGCTCTCATGGACTGATCTCTCAGCTGAGTCCTCAGCTTGCCACCTTTCAGTGCTCTCCACTCCTCTTACCTTTGAGAACGGGTCCTGGCAAGCAGAAGTACCTCCAGCATACTCAGGTGTGAAAACCCCACAGTGCCCAAAATTGGGATGAGGGAGTTACCGACCATGAGAGCTGATGACTCAGCTCCTGGGGTAGAAATGACAGCAGCAGTCAGCATTGTAAAGCCATACCTGCTGGCTTTCGGTGCCGTGGGGAGGTAGGGTGGGGTATTGCAGTCACTGCCTGGTGGATCTTGAGCCTGGGTGCTGGGTAGAGGCAGAATCAGAACAAGAAGTGACCAGGAGAGCTGAGCACCCCCCAGTGGATTTTAGTTCCCCTCACCCTGTGGGGTGTGTGTGTGTGTGTGTGTGTGTGTGTGTGTGTGTGTGTGTGTGTGTGTTGTGTGTGTGTGTGTGTTGTGTGTGTGTGTGTGTGTTTTATTTAATCATTTGCCAAAATAAATCTTTTAGACCTACAGAGAATTAATTTTTTTATTTTTAATATTCTCAATGCACTTGGGGTTTTATTTCCCACTAGATCTATTAGTTTAATTTTAGTAGGGGACAGACTGTGTACTTAACCAAAAATTGCTTTGACATTATGGAGAATTAAGAGGCTTGGGCCAGATAGATGGAGCTGATCGATCTGCTTGAGATAAACTCTATTATTTCCCCAAGAACTTTCTGCACCTTAATGGTGAAGACAGTGATTGGAAAACACATCACTGTCTGATCATGACTAGGCCAGAGGGTCAGGGCTCTCACTCCTGTGTCTTTTACAGACACCTGGAGGTCACCTCCTTGGCAAGATATTGTTGGAACACGGCAGTGGAGGTGTTTTGAGGGGCTGTAATCACTTGTAGCACTTCCAAGTGTCCATTTCTGCCAGCTGTGGTTTCCATGTGAGTGACCAGCCTTCTGAAGAATTGACCGCATATCAGGGAACCAGTGTGACTATAGGACTCAAGGCATAGAACTGGGGATCCAGGGATGGGCAAGTCCAGGTCCGAGAGCAGAACAGCCAGGAAGTCTTTCCTAAGGAGCAGTGGCTGAGTCTCTCCTCTTGTTAGAAGATGCTGGGATGCTCAGCTTCTGTGGAATGGATAAACTGATGCCTGGGCAGTAGCTATGTAAATTGTCAGGGTGGGTGCATACTACAAGATTATGGTCTTGTTTCTCCATCACATTGACCTCAGGAGACGCTCTGAATGTGCCAGTTCCATTAAAGGAGAGCCCTAGATCTAGGACCCCAAGCTTGTACCATCCTTCTAGAACTGTCTGGACCTTCACCTAGAAGTCTCTATCCAGAGCATCTCCTTAAGGCCAGTAGAAGACACTCTGGCAGTCCTAGGCAGTTAATTGCGACTTTCCCTTGAAAAGACCATGTTTACACTTGGGTGTGCCTTTCTGTCTGAGCACCTCTTTTTCTCCTGCCCTAGTGGTAACTATGAATAGTGCAATAAAGCAGATGGTCCCTCTGTCCCTTCAACATTGTCCTGGCCTGTGTGATCCCTGCAGTTCAGCAGAAGTTTTAGTTCTGACCTTGTCTAGGAACTTCAAGGCTGAGCCCTGGAAGCCAACTATACTCCTTCATGCTACAGTCCTGAACAGTCCTGCTGCTCAGAGTCTGCTCAGCTGGCTGGAAACTTTTGCCAGAAAGCCTTCCTGGGGATTTCTTCTCCTTTCATGTTTGTCTGTTCTCATACCCAGAAGGGTCCTCCTGTGTAGCTAAGTTGTCATTCTGGAAGGCCCAAGTCTGCTTTCATCTCCCAGTCCATCTCTCAAGGGTCTAGTGATTTCTGGAGCTCTGCCTTGAGTACTCTGAGGCGTCATCTGGGCTAAGCAGGGAGGTGTGGTGATTAGTGGTCTGCTGTTGGCATGGGAGGTGACAGGGCAGGATTTTCGATATCTGAGATGGATCCCTGGGCCATTCTTACTAATGCACAGAGTTTCTGTCTTTGCACACTTACCTCAAGGCCAGCAGAGGGACAGCTCCACTTGCCTGTATGGGTCTGTGCCTGGAGCTGGCAGACCTGAGGAAACTTACCACCCACCTATCTAGTATGGACAGCTGTTATTGAAAGACCTGTGGCCGGCCTGAACCTTTTCAGGGTGGGAGCTGTGCCCAGTCCATCCTTACACCTGCCCAGACACATTGCTCAGCATGTGGCTGGTGTTCAATGGATGATGGGTGGCAGGAAGCCAAAGCCATTGTGTGGCCCCTGCCGAGTTCCCAGGCTGCTCAAAGGAATTTAGGCCTTCGTGGTCTCATTCTGGGAGCTGGCCCATCTCTACTGTGAGACTAGAGCATGGGGAGTGCAGGATAGTCTCAAGCTCTGCTTTGACATCATCTCTAGCTTCAAAGCCTTGCTGGATACAGCTGTGTCAGTTTTTCCTCTATACTAGAATAGTCACAGGCAAAGGCACAGAAGGAGCACAGGATGGACGGGAGCATTGTGTAAGGGCACCTGCCCTGGTGTGAGTGGCCAGACTCTGGCCATCTTGACTGCTCTATTGGTGCTTATGCCCAGGTCTTGGAGGAGCTCCCAGGCACTGCTGTGACCTTCACGCCTGAATCACCCCCTCAGACTTTGTCCTGCTGGTAGACTGGCAGCTGCCAATGCTGCGTGGTTTGTGAAATGTCAGTGGTTTAATATCAATTCTGGAGGTTTTATTGCCTCCCCCCCCCTTTTCTGATGGGATTTAATCCAATCAAGGCTGATCCAGATGATGGTAGATTTGTGTTCCCATCTGAAGTTGACAAAAGGTCACCCTGCCGGGGAGAGGGGCTGTCTTGAGCCAGCACTCCTGCTTTGCTCTTCCTCTAGGCTCTTCCCTGCATCGTGGTCAGGTGAATGCAGTGCTTGGCCGTGTAGAGCCATTGTCAAGGCCAAGGTACCTGGAGGTTGAAGATATGCAGTTGTCAGCAGCGAAAGGCCCTGGCTTCATCTGCAGAATGTCTTGATACTTCAGATCTGACTTCATTTTTCCCAACAATGTTGTAAAATACAATTTTCCTCTTTCTGGGAAGCAAAGCAAAAGTACCAAATGAGATTCTCTTTGTGGGGAGAGCCCAGCCTTATGTCATGCGGGCTTGTGCCTCTGTTCTCTCTCTATCTCAGCATTGGGGCAGCAGGAACTACACATAGATCTTGACCAAATGGGTCAGTAGGCTCAGAGTCCACTTTTCCTTGCTAGGGATAGGCTGGCCCACATAATTGTAACATCTTCCTCTGGTCTGCCCAGTGGCAGATGTTTATGACTTTCAGGGTATGCCAGGGCCGGGTATGATCAGATAGAGGAAAGAATGGGAACTGAGGCAGGATAGAAAGCCAAGAAACATGGGGACACAAGGATGGAGAAGGGCCCTTCACCCAAGAATCTGGCTGTTCTCACTAACAGTGTAGGAAGACTTTCAGTACAATTAGCAATTAACTATTTTTCCCCCTTTCTAAATGTAAACCTACAATTTAGTAGGAATCTCAGCAGAGGCACCATATTCAGAGAAGAAATATACTAAACTCTCTGTGCAACCATAGTGGCTCCTGGCCTCAAGAGATTATAATTCTGCCCAAGGAACCTTCAGAGTCACCCTGTAATTTCACTTATCGAGAGAGAGAGAGAGAGAGAGAGAGAGAGAGAGAGAGAGAGAGAGAGAGGTGGCTGAGATTTCTTATCAACCTTTAAGGTGTAACTTGAGAGCCACCAAAGTGGTGTACATGGCAATTGCTAAGACAGTTAACTTCCACTCTCCCTCAAGGAGCCCGTATCTATACTTGGGTAGGGTAGTCTCTGGGCCTGCTTCCCTCTTGGCCCACATTCTGCAGAGCCATGCTGGGTTGCCCATGGGGGTTAGTGGATGGTAACCCTAGGCTCAGGTGGCCTAATGATCTGTACCTAGGTCCTTCCCTAGCCACAGAAGAGGGCTCAACCTCCCCATACTGTTTTGGGGCAATGTCCCCTCCAGATGCCTGGAAGGCTGCATGAGATGTTCCAGAAGCCTAGGGCACACTGTGTATTCCAAGACCTGTGAAGACCAGATAAGAAAGGGGTGGGGCTCATTGCAGAGATACTGGGAGTGCAGAGAAATCAGAGATGTTTGTCCACAGATACCCTCTGGGCTCTGGAAGAAAGTGCCAGAAGGATCTACCCTTCAGAACAGGAAATTGTCTTCCAAACACTATTTTTTTTTGCTGGGGCGGGGGGAGGACTTTTATTATTTATTTATTTATTTTTGAGACAGGGTCGCGCTCTATAGTCCAGGTTGGCCTCCATCTCATGAATCCTAAATGGTGGGATTGTAGGCCTGTGCCATCACATCTGGCAAGCCTGACCCCCTTCCAAACCTGGTCCACTGCCAACCTAACCATTTTCTATGTCTCACTAGGTTGACATCCGTGAGGTCAGTAGGAGGAATGCATGACCTCTTTCTGTCCCTCCCTGGGCCCATTGCCATAAACTATACTTAACCTTCGGGATGTTCCCAGCTCTGTCCTTTTCTCTTTACTGCTCAGCCACCACCCTAGCTCCAGCCTCCAGCCTCTGCTGGTTGATGCCCAGGAATCCTACTGTCCTGGCACTGAGCACTGAAATTCCTGTTTGAAAGGTGCTCAGTAGTCATTTGGAGTCATGAAGTCCATGCTAAAGGGCAGGGGTCTTTGTACCATTTTCCCTCTGGGATTTGGCTGTGACTACAGACAGGCATCTCTGATTTCTCTGCCTCTGTTGTTGCTAGTGTCATTTAGTTCCTAGATACTTTGTCACTTGGGGTCAGAGTGACTCACTGACCTGATGCATTAGAAATCCTGTTGCATTTTCTCCTCCTTGTCCCTCAGAATAATCAGTCATGGAGCAACTATAGTGTGCCTGACAGAGTTGGATCGCAACAAGCATTTCTTGGATTAATAAAAAGTGCAGACATACAGGTATTCACTTGTACACCAGTTACTTTGCTCATTACTGGGACAGAATAGCTGACAGAAGCAGCTTAGGTTGGGGGGCGATTTATTTGGGGCTCACAGTTTCACTGCAGAAAGGCATGGCGGCTGAAGCTGCACAGTCCACAGTGGCAGGGACTTTTGGTATGGTTTGTTCACGTCCTGGTAGAGAAGACATAGAATGGACATCATCTTCCAGGCCTGTCCTCAGTGACTCACTTCATCTAGTTGGGCTACAGTCCCAAAGGTTTCATATCGTCCCCAGACAGTCCTCCAGGCTGGGGACCATATGTTCAAACACTTGAACCCATTGGCACACATTTTTAAACTGTAATTCTTGCTTGTGAGAGAGTCACAACCTCTCCCACCTCACAGATAGAATACATGAGCTCCAGACACACGTAGTGGGGTCTCTGAAGGACACAGGAGTGGCACAGAACAGAGACTAAGCCTGTCCGCTGAGCAGCAGAGGCTGCCCTCCAGACCTGCCTCTGTGTGCCTGCTGTCTTTTCTTTCCTTTCTTCCAAATGAAGCGTTTTCTCTCTCATCTCAAGTTGGGGACTATGTAGACACCGCCACCGGGTTAGTCAGTGCTGTCTCTGGTGAGCAACTGGGTAATTATTTCCAAAAATATTGACTTGTAATGTGAAGAAAGCTCTTCTCCAGGCCACCCGTCAGCAGAAAATTGCCTCTGGTATTAACATTTCATCAACCACATAATGTGAATTGATGTAAATGCATAATTAGAAATAATAGTCTGGGAAAATTCACTCTTATTTATAAAATTGGGCTTGTTAAATTAAAATGGGAGCTAACGACTTCCATTTCCCCAGTAAAACATGGTCTGGGTTTTGCCGGCTTTGCAGAGGTCCTGGCTCATGTCTCTGGGAGCTTTTGTGCACCCACAACTGGAAGGAGATAGAGGGAGAGAGAGAGAGAGAGAGAGAGAGAGAGAGAGAGAGAGAGAGAGAGAGAGAGAGAGAGGTGAGAGAGCAAGAGAGTTCTTTGAGCAGGCACAGACATCACCTGTCCTAAAGGTGCTCTGCAGTCACATGAATGGGCCTCTCAGAAACATCTCAATCACAATGCAACAAATGGCAGTCTTGAGAGAAGAGGACTGGAGATAAAATCCTTGGCTTTCATTCTCCTGGGGGAACAGCGGATAGCTTACCCTCTCACCTGAGTCCCAGGGATGACAAAGTACTATATGGATAAGATAAACCTTGCCTCCACCTTGTTCTTACTGGGCAAGTGTGCCTAGTCTCCATCCCTCAGCCTCTGACACAGAAAGATGACCTGGTCCTTACCAACCAGGACCTCTAATGCCTGGCCACAGTGGTTGCATGGCATTGGAGAGTCTATCCTAAGTTACCAGGAAAGCAGGCCTTGAAACTAGGAGAACAAAGCAGGTGTGCAGATGGCTGGAGCCATCTTTTTTTATGATCTCCTGCCCATCCTTTCTGCTTCTACACCCAGTTGGACTGTGATTTCTCATCAGTTACAATCTGTCAAGGTTTTAAGCATTGATTTAAAATTATGTCCCTCCTGCCTTAGCCTCCTGAGTATCTGGGAATACAGGTCTATGCTACTACACCCAGGTAAGTCAAGCACCCCTGATGATGGGGAAAACTCAGAACCTTGTATATGCTAGGCAAGCACTCTCCCACTGATCTACACCCAGCCCAAGCTGGAATTGATACTTTGAATATTCCATTCTAGAAGCCCTGGATCCCTTCAGACAGCTTTACCTTGGCCTGTATTCTGTCCCTCTTCTGAAGCCACGAACTCGGCCATCTTAGCAAGCAGATCCTACATGCTCTGAAGCCAGGTTCCCAAGGGCCTGAGGTTCAGGAGGGTCTTCTTGTTTTATTCAGCTGCAGAGTCTAAGGTGAAGTCAGCAGAGAGGGGATTATACTGTGGGCTTTCTCCCCCCCCCCCTCTCTCTCTCTCTCTCACACACACACACACACACACACACACACACACACACACACACACACACAAACATGCATGTAAACAAGCAGATGTCGTCCTTATAATGACAGGTATAAAACTGTGATAAAGAGGAGACATGATTGAGGAAGCTCCTTTAGCTAGTCTGTGGTCCTGGTAGCCATAGGAGGAGAGCTCCCAAGGCCTCCCCTCTGGTGGCAATGCACTTGGGATCCATAGAGTGGGGTGGGGGTCTCCCTGGTTTAGACAGGACATGCAGAGTGATGCCTACAAGGGCCAATGGCTGTGCCTACTGTGCCCTGCTTCCTTGTGTTGGTAGGGGTCTGAACTTCCTAGGAAATGGCCTATCTTTTTTCTTGAAGCTGACCTTCTATAAGGGAGTAAAATTATCCATATTTCACTTTTGAAGTGGACAAGCCTCTAGCCACACTAGGGATGGGCTAGCCCAAGGTCACACAGGGGTCAGGGACCAAGATCTGGTTTCAGACTTCCTGGGGCCTGAGTCCTTGGTGTGGCTGGTGTCCAGCCAAGGCTGAGTGGTTTGCTGGGTAACAAGAGCTGCCTGCTTGCCCCCAGCCCCACCTGGCTACCCAGGGCATTGTGTTGGAGGATGGGGTGACAAGGAGGGATGCTTACAGTCCTGCATGCAGCTCCCCTGGCCTTTCCCTCTTCCTCCCACTCTTCTAGGCCACACAGGTTCCCTTTTCATGTGGAAAGAAAGCTGAGCACTTGTCTCCAGGAACAGCCGGGCCTTGTCCGCTCAGCTGTGGCTCACTGGTCCAGACAATCCCGGCTATGTCCAAAGAGCCCAGAGGCTGACGGAAGCGCCTTGGCCGGGGTCCAGGAACTGCAGGGGGTGGTGGGCTTTGAAGCTTGAGCTTGCAGGATGCCTGTCCTTCAGGGCCTCTGAATTTCTCTCACAGCCTACCAGAGGGTGTGAGAGTGGAGGACTGCCAGTGAGTCCACAGTTCCAGGCCTGGCTTCTTTCTCACCAGCTTCCAGGCTCTCAGAGGCTAGAGGATACGTATCAGCAACTGCAATGGGGCAGGGTTGCATAGGCCTGAGGTCTCAGAACCAAATTAACTTAAAAATGGAAAGAAAACACAGAGCCCCCAGAGGGACGGAGGCTTTTTCTTCACTCTAAGGAGGGCAGTGGAGACTGCCAAAGCAGGCAAGTGTGCTTGTCTCCAGCTCTTTGTCTCTTGTCTCCCCAGGGACGGGCCTCTTCCCATGGTGCTTCATCAGGTGCAGAGACCTCTACTGGTCAGGGCTACCTGACCCTCACCCCCACCCCCACAACAACCATCCTCATCTTCCCATTCGTCAGCCCTGGGCTCTGACCTGTTGCCCTCAAGGAAGGTTAAGATTTGTTCTTAACCCATTATTCCCAGTTCCTTGCAAATCCCATCTCTATCAAGATCAGCTAGCTGCATGAGCTCTGATTGTGGCCAACTTTGCAGCTGAGTCTCATGGTGGTCAAGTTACTGGCCCAGGACTACACAGCAGGCTGTCTGCATCTGTTGCATGAGCTCTGATTGTGGCCAACTTTGCAGCTGAGTCTCATGGTGGTCAAGTTACTGGCCCAGGACTACACAGCAGGCTGTCTGCATCTGTTACTCCAAAGCTTGTCCTCAAAGCCAGCAGGCTCCATTGCTTTTCTGTACAGCTTGGCTCCTGCTGCCATGTCCTCTGCCTGAAAAATGATTTTCTTTATTAAAATGGCAAACATCTATCGGGTATCTATCTTGTTTAGTCTTGTCTTTATATTGTTGGAGGGGAAATAGTTCATGAACAAGCAGATAAAATGGAAACCAGTGCTGAAGTCTATATAGAAAGTTGAAAACGGAGTGTGCTATGGCATGTCTCAGGGTACTTTAGAAGCAATACCAGGGAATGCTACCCTGAGAACCTTGCATCTAGATGACAAGGTGGAGGTACAGATGTACAGAAAACAGAGAAAAGCATCCCAGGCAGAGGGAAAGGTCGTGCAAAAGTCCTAAAGTGCAGATGAGTATAGCATTCAGGGAATGGTGAGCTGTGGATTTTGGAACTGCAGGAATGGGTGCAGAGTTGGGAGGTGTTGAGCATATGATCATGCAGAGCTCTTGCTACAAATGAGCCTCCAGAGTAGATGTATGTCACTAGACCCAGGCTCCACCACATCTCCCTGCTCTTCAGGAACCAAGGCTTGGAGAGGAGCTGTGGGGGTAGGCAAGCAGGTGAAGGATTCTTACAGGTAAAAGTTTGCTGGCCTATGGCCCAGTGTTGGAAGAGCTGAGTCGTCACAGATGTTCAGGGTGCAAAGTTACTTGGGGCAGTAGAGTCCACAGTTGAAGGCCTTTAAGTCTCTATGACTAAATACTACAGAAAAGCAACTTAAAGGAACAAAGATGCTAGTTTCAGTCCTTGCTAGCTTGGCCCCATGCCCTTGGGCAAAACATCTTTGAGGTGGGTGGTTGTGGCAGAGAGCTAGGAGAGAAAGGGAAAGGTCTGAGGGAGAGGAGAGGGAGGGGGAGGCAGAGAGAGAGAGAGAGAGAGAGAGAGAGAGAGAGAGAGAGAGAGAGAGAGAGAGAGAGAGAGAGAGGAGAGGGAGGGAAGGCAGGGAAAAGACACTCCTAAGGATACATGGTTATTTACTTCCTCCTGCTGGGTCCCCTTTCCTTTAGTTTCTACCTTCAGAAACAAGCCTGTGCTTTTTTGTTTTGTTTTGTGTTTTCAATTTGACGCAAGTTAGAATCATCTAGGAACAGGGAATCTGAATTGAGGGATTGCCTCCATCATGTTGCTTATAGGAAAGTCTGTGGAACACAGTATTGATTAATGATTGATGTAGGAGGGCCCAGCTTGCTATAGATGGTACTAGCCCTGGGTAGGTGGTCCTAAGTTGTATGAAAAAACAAGGTGAGTAAGCCAGTAAGCAGCATAGCATTCCTCTGTGGTCTCTGTGTCAGTTCCTGCCTCCATGTTCCTGTCCTGAGTTACTGCCTTGACCTCCCTCAGTGATTGACTGTGAACTGGGCGTTGTAAGATGAAATTAACCCTTTCCTCCTCAAGTAGGTCTTGGTCAGTGTTTATCACAGCAACAGAAACCCATTAAGGACAAACACTCAATACAGGAAACTGTGGGAATAGTTCATATTGAAGTCATAGCAGGGTATAAAGGAGCTGTTCTTGGAGTCAGAGCTGGGGATAGATCAGAAGAGGCTGGGAAGTGCAGGGCTGGGCCAGGCATGCTTGGATTTCTCTATGGTCTCTGGTCTCTATAATGTATAATCCTGAGAAAGGATGCACACTTCCTGTGGCCTAGACCCTTTTGGACCTGAGATGGACTACAGAGTACTCTGACCTTGGGGTAGATACCTCTGAACTTATTATGTCCTAGAACTTATTCTGTAGAACAGGCTGACCCTGAACTCACAGAGATCCACCTGCCTCCACCTCCCAAGTGCTGAGATTAAAGGCATGTGCCACCAGCACCTAACCAGAGAGACTTTCTTGATTTGAAGACCACATGTCTATTATTATCAGACACCGAGGAAGAATGGACTATGAGTTTAATGTAACTCATATCCTGCTGGCTACAATGCTCCTTTGGATGTCCAGTGGGGAGAGGTCCTGATTCTGGCTGGCCATGGACTCATTTGCAGAAGGGACAGGGCTCTCCTTGTGTTGTGGCAGGCTATGATTAAGCTCATCAAATGAACCTTCTTCTAATTGCTGTTTTCTGTGAGGGACACAGGCACCCCTTGACTCTGACAATGACTACAGCCAGGGTCCTTTCCCTGAAAAGTCCATGGGATATACAGGATGCATACTAACAGACCCAAGTCATCTTCTAATTCTTCAACATTGAAGCCTGGAGCTGATTTTTTAGGCAAATGAATACAAACCACAGTAGAAGCTCTTCACAACATCGGCAGTATTATTCACCTCACAATTGTTGAAAATTAAAATTGTCCATAGCTTCTACGTGCTTTCTCCCTTCATTGCAATTTAAGAACCAACACCATTTAGCTCATCAAAAATAATACTAGCGAGGAAAATGGCTTTTCTCTTTTAAAAGCCCCCAACATTTTGCCTTAATGTGTTCCTTGGAAGAAAGTAATTTACAATGCAGACAAGACAATTATCTGACTGATTTAACACAGTGGACCATGCTGGTGCCCCACCCCCATCTTTGCCTGTAGGGACCTGGTAGGGGGAGAATTCTATTCTGGGGCAATTATTTGGAACAACCAACTTGGACCTGTAGCTTCTAACATTTACAGCAGATTGACAGGAGCCTGGCAGGAGGTTCCTCTTGACTTTTAGTCATTTTGGAGTTGGACTTAGGCTTTTCCATGGGGACTAAAACTTCCCCCTATCAACTGGGAGCTTATGTTCACACCCATAAATCCTACTTGAAGCCTGAAGCCTAAAGCTCATCATTCACAAGTTACCTCACCCCAGGTCACCTCTTAGGTGCAGTATCTGCACCCTGCTTTCCTTTGAGCTATCTAGCTATGGATCATTGACCTGGAGAGTTGTGGGTATCTTTCTCTCCAGGAGCAGCCCAGAGCTGGACTAGTTGAATTGAGGCTAAATATCCAGTTTCCTTCCCTCTTGGGTGGGCAGTTCCCAGACCTGTTTTGTACAGTGGCTCAGAGGTGCCCATGGGCTGGGACCCCATTTCTCCCAAAGGTAATGGCTCAGGACCACATTCTATGTTGTCCTTTGCCTTTCCCATTTCCTTTTTCCCTAAAAAACTAATTGAGAACAGGTGTGGTGATGAATACCTGTAATCCCAGCTATGGGAGGCTGTGGCAGGAGAACTGACAGTTCTAGGCTAGCCTGGGCTACAGAGCAAGACCCTGTCTCAAAAAATTAAAGAGCCTACAACAACCAGAAAAGAGAGGGAGGGAGAGAGAAAGCGAGGCAGAGACAGAAAGACAGAGACACACAGAGAGACAGAGAGAGAGGGAGACCAAGACTAAACAAAACAAATCTGTTTTTGCGTTCTCAGGCTTTACTCTTGTATGGACAAATATCTGCCCACTCTATCTAGTGTTACACAGGTATAGATCATCAATGACAGACCAAAGTAAAGATTCACCTAAGTGAAGTTTATTAGGAGCGTTCTTGACTTAAGGCAGCTGCATCAATGAGAAGTCTTACCTGAACATAGGTCAGGACTCACGAAAACTGCAGCCCTGAAACCGTCCCTTAGTTCACATCCACATTCTATGTACCCCAGTGCTTCCCAGGACCGTGTACAGCTGAGGCAGGGCAGGAGTGGTTGATGGAATACCAGATGAGTGTTTGCCTAACCCCAGGATGGAATGTCAACAGCCCTATCTCCATTACCATAGACAAGGTTGTCACAGTGTGGGTCTGCTTTTTATTGCAATGGCTTCAGGCCAGGGTCTTCTGTAGGCCACCACAGCTCCATGGTGGCCTGTGGTCATGTCAGGCCACAGGAAATGGGTCTATATATGATGACTCCTGTGATGGGGGTGGGCTGGACCAAATGCAGTCAGCATGCAAGTGTCCTGGAGGGAGGAGCCAGGAAACCTGTTAGCAATTTTGAGGCTATGTGGAGAAATGTTGGAGTTGCCAGGGCTGGCTAGCACCGGAAGAGTTAAAGCATTAATAGGCACATTACGTGCAGGCTTCCATGGTGGTCCCCATTGCAGTGCCTGGCAACACCCCATGTTGTTCTGAGTTCCCTGCTCTGGAGCACTCAGCTGGAGCTGGAGTGGATACTCTGCAACTATCCCTCTTCATTGCTCATCAGCCTCTCTGTAGTGTAGCACATGGCCAAGAAGCCATTTATCAACACCTGGGCCACCCAGCTCTAGCTCAACTATTTGGCTACAAAGAAGCCACAGAGCAAAGGGGATTTCCAGTATGCTGTGGAGGCTGCAGAAGCCAGATGCCAAGGTACCATCTTGGGCAGCCTCCCTTTGCCTTTCTGCTCTTTTGGGAAGTTCCTCCTTGCTTCCTATTGCAGTTCCATTCCTTGTTTGGGGCTTGGCTGAAGTCACTGATGTCCATGTCAGTGACTTTCCTCGTCCCGATGACACAATACCTGCCTGAAACACCTTGAAGGAGGAATGATTGATTTTGACCTACACTTTTAGAAGTTATCATGGTGAGGAAGGCATGGGGCAGTTGATGGAGGCAGGAGCAGGGGGCTGGGCTCCTCACAGCACCTCTGGCAGACAGGAAGCAGAGAACAAAACTAGACATGAGGCCTAGACTGTGGCCCTCAAAGGCCTGCCCCTAGTGACCTGTCTGCCAGCATGTCCAAACATTCCATAGTCTCCTAGGCAGCACCTCCAACAGGGAGCACTTCACATTCAAACTATAATGAGACACGGAGCACATGCAACATACGAAGTTCCCCTCCGTTCCCCCTTGCCTCTACCTTCAACAGGGAGTTACAGACTTGTGAGCCTGGAGCTGCAGTTGTCCCAATCTGGCCTCAGAGGAGCAGTCCTGAGAGTTCTGCTGGCTGTTGTGAAGAGTGGACAGGAGGGACAAGGTCCTTGCTGACCACCATTATCCACACAGAACTACTGCCCCTCCTGTGGTTTGACCTTCTGATCCACTAATCCTCCCTCTTTGATGAACTGGTTCCATTTGTTTCTGTCACTTGTCACCAAGGGTCCTGACTGTCATATCCACATTAAGCCATATGTGTGCAGCCACAAAGGCCCTTCCTTTGGTAACCCTAATGATGGCAGTGGCAGGGAAGCATATCCTTCTGTAGATCTGCCTCAGTGCAATGGGTGTCACCTGCCACCAGTCCTTCAAGGCAAGCCCAAGCAGTGTTCAGGGGATGCAGGCTGAAGAGAACATCAGAAGAACCAGGGCTATGACTCCCTCAGCTGCAGCTCACATAAGCTGATCAGAGGAGGTGGGATAATAAGAAGCTGTATGAATGTCACCCATTCTGTATGTTGGTGAGAAAGAATCTGGTTGCAGCTGGGCACCTCATGTGTCAGAGCGCCAGGACAGTCCACAGAAGTGGGAATAACCACTCCAATGGCTTGAGTTTTCTAGGTATAAACCTGTCCCTTGCACATGGTGTTTGTGAACACATTCTTTCTCTCTCTCTCTCTCTCTCTCTCTCTCTCTCTCTCTCTCTCTCTCTCTCTCTCTCTCTCTCTCTCACACACACACACACACACACACACACACACACACACACACACACACACACACACACATCTGATCAGACATTCTGCCCTGGCAGTGTTTCGGGTAAGAGGTCACCAAGTGGCCTGGTACCAAGTGGGAAAAGGGTGGGTGCTTGCCTTCAGGGGCTCATGAGGTTTCCAGGATGACAGAGCTAGAAGGGTCATGGCCTTGGGAATTGGGAGCAGATGCTGGGCTCTACTCCATACTTCCTGGAGTCCTCTGGACCTAGACTTCTAGAACTGTCTTGACCTGGTGACTCAGCCTGGTGGGTTCCCTGCCTGATGGGTCTGTGAGGTCTTGACATCTGGCATGATTCAGATCTCACCTTTTGAATGCTGGATTCCCAGATCTCCTGCTGTTGCAAAGCCTTTAGGAGTTGGGGCCTGGCTAGCAGACCCGAGTCTCCAAGAGCAGATGATGAAGGGTATTTTTTCCCTGGTTCTGGCTGTGCTGTCTGCTTCCTGATCTGCTGAGAAGTGGAGAGTCTCCTCGACATGCTGCCAAGACCTCCATTATGCCTTCCCTTCCCTGAAGCGGTGCCCAAACCAGCCCTTCTTCCCTTTAGTTGCTTCTGCGGTCACAGCTTCTCAAAAGTAATGAATGCTTTTCATTCTCTGCACTTGGGTCCCCAGACCTGGCTTCTAACAAGGAAACAGGCTGAGTCTATCTGCTAAGACCCCCTAGCCTGTGAGAGACTTTGGGGCTGTCTTATTGTCTAGCCCAAGACAGGGACAGATGAATGGTTGACACGGACATTCATGTAAACCAGGCTTGCTGCTCAGCCTCTTCCTGAGCTCCACATCTCTTATGGAGGAAGTTCCTAATGTTATCCCACCACAGACCATTTTGCTGCCAAGTATAGATGACAGAACTGTAAACTTATGTTGGATGAGGGTTTCAAAATGGAATGATCATTCAGAAATGACCCAATCACTTATTTGAGGTTTTGACAATCAAAAATGAATTTCTTCAGATCAGAAATGGATCTTTACATTTCCTCTCTCTCTCTGCTTCTGTGGGGGCTGTTGCTCCCAAATCTGCTTGCATCATGGCTCAGTGATGTTTAGAATCCAGAGTAGTTTTCTGGAGACAGATGGCATTGATTTCACATTTGTTCCACTGTGCCTGCCTCTCACAATGTATTAGCATCAGCTCCTGACATGCAACTACAGAAGACATCAGAAACGATTTGATCTGTCACTTAAAAAAAAAAAAAAAAAAATTTGTGCTGGCCCTAGTGGGCCAGGCCTGTAATCCCAGCTACTTTGGAAGCTGAAGCAGGAGGATCATAAGTTTAAGGGCTACTGAGTTTAAAATAAGGCTGGGTAATGCAGTGAGACCCTGTGTCAAAATGATAGGTAATGAGTGTTAAGGGTCTTGCCCTACACACACAGCCCTGGACTCCAACCCAGTATTATAGGTGTATCCTCTGCATGAGGAGAGTTGGGAAAATGGACTCTTCATGGACTATAGAGGGCCCATCTCTGCTCCTTTCTGCACGTGATCTTGTCCCTGGTATTTCTGACAATTGCTTTAGTTGCTCAGGATGGGGGGAAACATTGTGTGGCTGTTATGTCTCAGTGTGCCATGAAGAGCATGCTGGGCTCGAGGTTCACAGGGTAATTGCTGCAGGTCCCTGTGACTTTGGAATGCCATTGTTTCTCTTTGAGCCTAAGTTTGTCTGTTGGTAAAAAGGAGAGCCATCTCTCTTCCTCACTTTTTCTCATGATCCAGGAGAGGGTAAAAGAGTATCTGGTACTCAGATGCACATGAATCAGGCTTTTCATTTGGTAATAGTAGGCATTAGAATCTCATATATGCAAGCATGTACTTTACCAATGAGCCACACACTCCACCTTTTCTTCCCCCCAGTGCTGGAAAATGATCTCAGGGCTTTGTGGAGGCAAAGCCAAGGCTCTGCTGCTGAGCTGTATCTCTGGCTCAGAGTCTCACAATAAGTCTCAGGTTGGCTTTGAAGTTGCTTTCCTCCTGGTTTTAGCCTCCCTCCTGGTACCTTACCACACCTAGCTCTTGTAACTCCTCTAAAGTCAGCCAGAACAGGAAGTTGCTGGGAGCCATGTGACCTTGAACACCTGAGTAGTCAAGATACAGAAATCAAGGTGGTCCATGGTTGGTGAAAAGTCTTTCAAGACATTCTGGTGTGATATACAGAGTCTCAGAGTTGACAGCAGGGTAGGAAGGAACTTACTTGCGTATGACTTCCCCAACACTACAAGCCCTGAGTTATCACACCCAAGTCTGTCCATAACAGTAGGGTCAAGGTTCCCATAGAATGATTCATGACACCACGCTGCACAGGGACAACTGGGAATACCCACTGCAGAGAAGGATATATGGGGGCCAGGCTGAATCCAGTCACTGTGTGTACTCAGGAGAGGGGGTGCTCCTTCTCCCATGCTCCTCATCTGGGTAGCCTCTCGATGCTCCTTCTGTCAGTTCTGCTCAGGGAAATCTGAATATGCCATGCCAGGCAGACATTGGAGGAAATCAACCCAGACAGCAGACACTTAGTCCTGCTTAGAAGGTCATGCAGTTGTGGCTGGCAAGCTTGCCTGAGATGCGGGATGCTGCTGACGTAACAGCCTCTACCAGGATGCCATCTCCTTTCCCTCACCTAAAGACTGGCTTGAAATAATGAGCACCATCAGAGTAGGAATCCCACTGTCCTGAACTCCCCAGAGTTCCAGAGCCAAGACCCATGCAAGGCACACAGCAGGGGCTTCATCCATCTACCCAGGCATCTGCTATTTTAGTACCCAGCACTAGGCCTGCTGGGCCACATAGAGCCCATCTCCCTGAGCTTGCAGGAGATGCTGAGAATAGACTAATAATTCCAACAGCATTTTGCCAGGTTTCAAGTAAGTCTTACCCTCTTAGTCATCTCATTTCCTGGGGCTCTCGAGACCCTCTAGTGCCTTCTAGTCTGGCATGCATCTTCACCAAGGATAGCCTTCTGAATGAGCTCATATCTTCACATAGAACCAATTCCATTAATTGATGTTTGAACAAAACAACTGTTTTCCGTTAAAAATGTCCTACAAGAAAATTAGAGGTAAGTCAAAGTTTTGTCTTCTCACGTCCGAGAAATTGTTTTGGTCTCCAAGGCAGGAACAGCTTCTCCAAAAGACAAGATGGCAGATGAGCACAGGGGAATTAGTGCTCCTTGTCATGGGGCTGTCCTATATGTCAGCTTAGGGGCCTCCCCTGCATGCTAACTACTGTACCCAACTGTTACTTGTTGGGATGGAGATGTGCAATTAGCAAAATAAAACTCTAGGATGAAAATAGTCCCAAACCCCAACTGGGAGCCATGGACGCTGCTTTGACTGGAATGATACAGTTGGTAGAGAACTAAAACATATGCTTATCAAGCAATAGGGCAGTCCACTCAGTGACCAAAAGGCTAAGGATTCAGCCACGGCATGGTGTTCTACCCCTGGAGTGCTTTCTGTTTATCATTTCTCTGGGCTTAATTCCCCCTTCCTCCACCCTCCCCCTGAAGTAGGCTCTACTGTGTGGATGCCATCTTTGTCCACAGGCTGTTATCCAATCCCATTAGTTGCACAGATGGAGTGTCTGCTTCACCAGCATTTGTCAGAAAACATCTTAGGTAGAATGCCGTCAACCAAATGAAGTCATGTGTCTGTACCTGAACCTCTTGTAATAGGGTGACTTGAACGAGGAATGTCCCCCCATAGACATTTAGTCTCCAGGTGGTGGTACTATTTGGAGAGGTTATGGAGCCATAAATATGTAAGTGCCAGGAATGCAAACTCTAGTCCCCACACTTGCACAGAAGCGCTTTACACACTGAGACTCTCCCCAGCCCCAAGCACTCATTGTTTTTAAAAGAGGCTATAGATTAAGAGAGAGGGGTGAAAAGGAGTTGAAATCCACCATGTACTAGGAGCCATTTGACTTCAACCCATTTCCAGGGTGGAGTTTCAGCATGCAGGGGATACTGCATGACAGGCAATCGGTTCTTGATGAAGGATCCTCACCAGGTTTTATTTACTAGGTGAGTGGGTCTCCTTGTGCTTTGTTGACTCAGGATGCTAGGATTCTCTTCTGCAGGTCTCCTTTAATTCCGGGTTTTGTTACATTCAGTGCTTACCTTTCCCCACTCCCGACAGATTTTCCTTTTCAAGCTTTTCTTCTCTGGTGCTCTACTTTATTGTAAAATAGCTTTCTTTTTAAGAATCAGGGATACTACATTGCCTAAATTTTTTTGTAGTGAAGGATGCTAGTTTCTCAATTTTTCTATTTTAAGGAATGCTTGAACCATATGTGACTTTCCCTTTGAGCTGTTTTCCGCGGGCTTTAGCATGAAGCATTATTTGACCCTCCCCCACTGCCCCTGTCCTGCCCTCCCTCTTTCCCTTTTCTTCTCCCTCCCCTTCCTCATTCTCTCCCTCTCCCTCCTTTCTCATTCCCCTCCCCTCCCCTGCCTTCCCCTCTCCCTTCCTACTCTCTCCTTCTCCACTTCCACCCTCTACCCTTCCTTCAGTGTGTGTCCCACCTACAACTCTCCTCCCCTCTGCACCCACCATGTCATCTTCTCTCAGTTTCTTTTTCCTTTTTCTGTACTTCTGGAGTGAACTGGCAGTCAGGTTAAAAGACACACTCTACGCGAGCGTTTCTCATGTTCCCTGAGTTCAGTCACAGCCCGAGACTGCCAGCCTGTGGAACTGCTCCCATGTGGAAATATGTGGTTCCAAATTTCAGCTTTCCATTTTCAATGCCCTCAGTGCTCAGTCATCCCCTGAACTGAAGCAGGCTGAGGAGGAGTCTGAATCCAGGTAGGTCATGACTCCTCCCTGCTTCCCTCTAAGAGTGTGTAGATCATTTTCCTACTAACTGGAGGGATGGGCAGCCAGGGAAACAATGAATGGAGGGAGGAAGAGCTTCCTCAGAGGGAGTGAGCTTCTGTTCCTGTGGCTGCCCCAGAGACAGAGGGAGCACTAAGGTAAGAGGCAGACAATGGAAAGAGGAAAGAGCCAGGGAGTCAAGATGGGGTCAGGGTGAGTGAGGGAGGGCACTGAGAGTTGCTGGCAAGGGACACCCTTGGAAACAAGGGTGCAGGATGCTGAGGACCAGGCTGAGATTTTCTGTGGAAACTTTGGAACAATATCTCCTTCCCTATGGGGTATATTGGCCAGATCCTACTCTGTAGACTGCTGCCCATTGCTGCCTAAAGATTTCGCTGCAGCCCCTTTCCTGGGACATTGCCTGGAGCTAATTACATCTCCTATTCTCCACAGCCCAAGATTGGCTCAAGGTGGGATCAAAGGTGGGAAAGTGTGGGAAACACAGGAAGAGAAAAGAGCCTCTCATCCTTGCTAGCTGATAGGCAGGAACTTCTAGCCTGTCCTCATGGCACAGGCCTTTAGTCCCAGGTAGAGGCTGAGGCAAGAGGTAAAGCCCAGCTTGGGGTACTTAACCAGACCCTGTCTAGAACTGAAAAATAAAATGACAAAGAGAGCTGGGGACACAGCTTAGTGGTGGTGCCTTTGTCTAGCTTGTGCTGGGCCCTAGGTTCAAGCCCCAGGACAGAAAATACAAAACAAAAAAGAATTTCAGCAAAACTAACAAAAGCAGCAAAAATCACTGTGAAGATTTTTTTAAATTCCTTTTGTGAGTCACTTCAAGAAAAAATGTTAAAATAGCAACGAGCCATATTTAAGGTCGAAACACAGGATAGCCCTTGAGTTTGACCTTCTCCCTTTTCATCTATAAACTTGTCATTTTCTGAGAAGCTAATCAACAAAACTATAAACCAAGATTATAAGCAAAACGTGCCTTGACCTCCTTCTGACCTATGGATAGTAAGAATTCCTTTGACCCTGGGTTTTTTTTTAATATTTACTTTTTAATTTTTATTTATTTGAGCATGAGTGTAATGCCATATATATGCAGGTACTCACAGAGGTCAGAAGAGGGCATGATATCCCTAGGGATTAGAGTTATAGGAGGTTGTGAGACTGCTGACATGGATGCTGGGAACCGAACTTGGGTCCTCTGCAAGAGCCACAGGTACTCTTAATCACTAAGCTATCTCTTCAGCCCTGATCTGTGTTTCTTACTTATCTTGTCAGCCTGTAAACCTGCACAATGTGCCTTATAAACTCCTTATAATCTCATTTACTAATGAAAACTTCCTTAGAAGTTTTTTGTAATCTTTATTTTGTGTAATCTTTTATATCCTTTGAACACAATAATTTCAAAAGCCACTGAAATCATATAGTTCTGTTAGAATATTCATACTTAACTGAGATTCTCTCTTGAAGCTTGTACCTGCCCTTCATTGTGTACAACTGTCCTTTTGTTAGGCCTTGTATCCATTTCCTTTTCCGAAGTATTTTGCATTGAATATAGGGTTTTATGCATGCCAGCAAGTGCTCTGCTACTGAACTATCTATCAGACTACACACACACACACACACACACACACACACACACACACACACACACACACACAATTTTCTTAAAATTTTGAGATGGAGTCTCACTAAGTTGCCTAAGCTGGATTTGAACTTATGGTCCTCCTGCCTCACCCTTATGAATACCTGGCATTACAGGCCTGGGCTACCAGGCCCAACCCAACATTTTCTTAACAAATCCAACTTTTCTTCATAGTGGCTTATCCTGATTCTTTTCTGTGTCTTCAATGAAGAGCCAGGAAACACCTGAATGAGTTCTCAGGAGAGCATCTCCATGCTGCGAAGGGGATCATGAAGACTGGTCGCATTCTTGAGAAGCTAACTTTCAGCCAAGCCTCCCAAAGGTATGTGTGTAAGCTGAGAAGGGCTAGTGTTGCATCTTAGTCCATTCGGTGAGGATTGGATGGGAGGATGCTCAAGAAATTTGTGAAGATCTGGGAGAGGCACTGGACTCACACAGAGGACAGAGTTGGACTTCTTTAGGCCAGTCTTATGTAAACTTGGTGAGTGAGTGAGACCCCCGGCCTTCTGCTCCCCCATCAGGCAACTTGTCTAAAGTCTTCCAGTAAGAGGCTAACCTGAGACCTACCGGAAGCTGGATGGTAAATGGATGATTGAATCACCAGGCTGGGCTGCTGACTCCCTCTTTTCTCCAGGCCTCAGGCTACATCAATGGCTAGACTTAAGGAGGTCCCCAAGATGCCCACTTTATTGTAAATTAGCATGTTGGTTGATAGCTGAGGCACAGAGTGAGCCTGAGATTAGGACTCTTGGGCAGGCATATCTTACTGAGCAGGTTTTCTTTAAGAACTACCTTTGCTTCTGAGGATGTTACACTTCCTATGACTTGTCACAGCACCCTCCTTTGCTTAGGAAGCAAACTCTTTTTTCAAAGCTAAGCTTTCTCCAGGCCTATGGGATTAGTGCATGATTCAGATTAATGGGGTCCAAATTAATGTGATTTATCGTCATGGCTTTCACAAGCTGTACTCTACTTATTCGGCAACTTTTATTTTATTTTATTTTGTTTTCAGGACCTAAATGTAGGACACTTGGAGTAAGAAAATATGCCTCCTCAGTTATGCCTGTAAACATACGGAACACTTTACAAAGTTTTGGAAAGCACACAGAACAGCTCTGTCAGAGTTGACAGCTCCAGGTGATTGTTGCCACCCTGATTTGGGGTGTAAAATGTCACACTTGAGCAAAACTCAAGCATTTCCGTTCCCTCAATAGATGGTACTTGGAAAGACCCCAAATACTAAGTGTCCCTCTGGCTTTGAAAGAATAAGATAGCAGGTTGTCTGCGTGTTTCTGGTGTGACTGGTTCACAGAACTTGCCACCATGTTGATGCCACCAGCAAGATTTCCATGCAACAAACATGAGTAGCCGACCACCATTTCCCTTCTGAGGGTTTGTGAACACTGATTGACATTCCAGTGTGGGTTACCTTTCAGCTTTTGCATTCCCTATCAAATATGTGGTCTTCTGAGGCCTGGGGCAAGCCCACTGAGGAGTTAAGGAGTTAAATGAGGATCTTCACATTGGACTTTATTTCTATGCTAATGTGGCGTCAGAAAGAGGTCTCTGCATCATTGCCTCCACAGGGGGCCTGGTACTGCCCCTCACCCACTCCTCAGGAAACTCTTTCACAGTGCCATCTAGTTCTAAACGATTATGTAATTACATTTGTGAATGTAATCCTGCAGGGCATTATTCTAATTATAGCCTACAATCCCTTTCAGCTACACTCAGAGAAATAATTTGTGCAATGCAATGGGACTCCTCCAGCTGCTGCAGTGTCTAGAACCTGGGCACACAGTCAGCTCTGCCTCCTGGAATCAGAGGCCTTCCTTCTTTCTCAGGAAGGGATCCAAGCATCAAGTCCCCAGAGCCATTCCTCAGGGACAGTCCCCAAACACAACAGTATCCTTTGTTCCTAAAACCTTTATTTAGCAACAAATTGCTCATTCTGTACCCAGTAGCAGGAATTTTGTGGTATGTAAATTACACCTTAATAAAGCTGTTTAAAATCAGAATAGTTAAGTAAGTTAACTATAATCAAAGACAGAAATGGAGGTGTCTTACAGATGGGTGGCTGTTGTGGGCCAAGGGAGGGGATGTGAAAAAACAGTGACCCAGAGGACCCTGAAGTTGATGGTGAATGAATCTTAGACTTAATTAACAGGTATGTCCAATTTAAAAGATGGTGGAATTTTAGCTGTTTCCTTTGCTTTCTCCATATATTTTCTCCTTCCCTCCGTCCATCTTTCATCCCCCTTCTTCCTTTTCCTCCTCTCCTACTTCCTCAGCATCTGTTATTATTATTTTGGACTTACTTCTTGATGTGTGTGGAAACTTTCTAGTCTTTTCCAAGCTGCAGTTCCTGGAGATCATTCTTTGGTGGGCAGCATTAGAGTCCTGACGTAACATCGGGCTTCAGTGAGCCTCACCTTCCAGCATTGAGCATTGAGAGTTTATGGACTCCCTTAAAATCATGAGAGGGAAATCTCATCTTCAGTGATGCAGCCCATGGTCCTGGGTGAGAGAGAGTAGCTTGTCCCGAGTTCCCAAGGGCAAGACCACCAAGTCTCAGGTCTGCCCTTAGGTGGGATGCACAGGAACTGCTGAGCCCTTTACCAGCTGAAGTCTCACTATACTGTGTCTCCAAAGTTCCTAATCTGAGCTTTCTGGTTCAGATTATTTGGTCTTGGTCACCATTTTCTGCCTACTGGCATTTTTTGTAAAATAAAATTAATATTTAATTATTAATTATTTATTAGGCTTCCCGGAGAGGCAGAACCAGTAGAATAATTATGTGATCATATAATTATGTGATCATACGAAAGAGAAATTGGCTGATGTAATCATGGATGCTAAGCAGACTGTCTGAAAGCTTGACACCCTGGAGTATAGGTTGCATGGTCCAGTCTGAGGCCAAGGCCTCACAACCAGGGAAGCCGGGAGTGTAACTCTCATTCTGAGGCTGCAGGTTGAAAACCCCCAGGAAGTGTACATTAAAGAGTCCAAAGGCTGGAAAGCTTGCAGTTCTGAAGTCAAGGACAGAAGAAGAGTGTGTTCCAGTGTCAGGAAAGACCTCAGCTCCCTTTCCTCTGTTTTAAATTCAAACTTTCCACCGTTGGCCCATATCCTCACAGTGACTCAGCCACTCAGATGTGGATCTCGTATAGTCTAAATTGTACTTCATGAGTTTCATGAATCCAGTTAGGGTAGCAGCCAAAGTCAACCACTAGTTACTACTGTAAATTTGTCTTTGTGTTATACTTGTTTCTCCTACTCAGATCATTGATTTGGGTCATAACAAGCCATGGATGTTATCTTTGGAATGTGATAGCTGAGTTAGCTGAGTTAAAAATAGAGAGGGTGTGGGGGAGGTGATATATACATATATATATGTGTGTGTGTGTGTGTGTGTGTGTGTGTGTGTGTGTGTGTGTGTGTATTTGTATATACTATCTTGGTTTTGTGTTAGTGGGTCACTCTCTGAAGGAAGGTCAAGGACATTCATGAATCCTTCTACCTCTTACATTGATGATGGGCTGCCTCCATTTACTGTTTTACATAGAGAACACATTTACTCGTTTTTTTCTTTGGGAGTGTGGCCACTGGTAAATTGCCCATGCTCCAGTGAATGGTCCCATCCCTATGAGTGTAAGACAACACTAATTGGACTCAGTGGGTTATGAAAAAAAAAAGAAAGAATATAAAGACATGAAAATGATTTAGAAAATATGGTGACTCCTGTCCTTAATTCCAGCATTTTTTGGAGGCTGAGGCATGTGGACCTCTGTCAGTTCTATGCTAGCCTAGACTACATAGAAGTTTTAAGTTAACCAGACTACTTAGTATGATTCTATCTGAAAAAAAGAAAGAAAAAAGACATTTTTTCTAAGAAAATACCTATAATGTTCATTTTAGTAAGGTTCTAAAAGTTAATAGGCTGTAACAGTTTGTAAAAAAGGCTCTAAGCAACTATGTTACTTTTTCCTTGCAAACTGTCCCCATGTAAATGAAGTGAGATCCTGGAAGTTTCTCCTTAAAGATGAAGACACAGGCCCAATGTAGTGGCACAGACCTCTAATGCCAGCTTTCACAAAGCTGAGGCAAAGGGATTTTGAATCCAAGGTCAGCATGAGCTACCTAGAGAGACCCTATCTCCAGAAACAAACAACAACAACAAAAAATCCCCCAAACAAACAAAAAGACATAGGGCTGTTCCTAGCTCCTGTTTTCCTATCATTCATATACTTTTCAGAAGTTTTGAGTTATTTCATTTTATTCTTATCCTGTAATGACATCAACTAAGATTATGGATTTCCCCCAACATCTGCCTTTGGAAGGATGAGGCCATGCATTTGGAAGTGGTGATGGGGACAGCCAGCTCTATATACCCAGGGATTTTGCAAGGGACTTGTACCTAAATGATTAGGTTAAATCCCTAGATAATAGGGCTGGAGACATGGCCCAGTGGGTATGAGCACTTGCTGCTGTTGCAGAGGACCTGACTTAGTCCCTACCATGCATGTTGAGTGACTAACAACCACTTATAACTCCAGCTCTAGGGGATCTGATGCCCTCTTCTGGTCTCTATGGGGACCTACACCCATATGCACCCCCATATGTATTTATAAATAATAACAAGAAGCTGGAGACATAAACTAAGGGCACTTTCTTTTTGCTGAGGATCAGGGTTCAATTCTTAGCACCTACATGGTACCTCACAACTGTCTGTGACTCCAGTTCCAGGTATTAGGATGCTCTCTTTTGAGCTCTGCAGGTACCAAGCACACATGTGGTATATACATGCAGACAAAACACTCATATACATAAAATTAAATACATTTTACGGAATTAAAAAAAAAAACTAAATCTTAAAACCCTAAATGATTAGATTTTTTAGAAATTGAGCATTAATTAATCACTTCTATTTTTCTTATGACAAAAGGATACATCCTGTGCATTTTCATGTAACATTGGAAGTTGTGGGGTTTTATGATTAAAAATAGATTTTGCAAGTGTATCACAGGTGTTCAAGCACTATATGCATTTCCTGTAGGAAATCAGCCAGCCAGCCTGAAGTTCGTTTTCTGTGTTTATGTTCATTTTGGCTAAGTGTTTCTGCCCAGTACAGAGGGGTGGGAGGGATGTGGAGTAGGAAACTATGTTCCTGTACACCATGGTGTTCAGGGGACTAGAGCATGACTTGGCTGACCTTTCTCCCTTGGAGATCTGTGTTGGGGAGACAATGGAATCAGACACTATGGAAGGGAGCCTGGGCCTCACCATCGCATGGGGATGTGGATTGGCCAGGGACTTAGGTAATGTGGTGAGGAAGACCCCTACCTCTCTCCAGTATGAATGGTCTCTCCTCTGCCCCACCTTGCCTCTCTGGGGGCTGCTGAAGGTGAAAGAGGACAATGAAGGGCACTTTCATAGCATTCTGTATGCATGGTCAGATATGTCTCAGGGGGCGAGTTTCAGAAGGACTTGGGATCTTTCAATCTAGTCAAGCAAGCTTCCTGTAGAATCTGATCTTTCTTTTTCTGTTCTTTTCAATAGTTCAAGACATATCTGGCTGGCCTTGAATTTACTACCCTGACTAAGCTATCCTTGAGTTCACAGAGATCTGCCTGCTTCTGCCTCCACAGTACTAGGATTAAAGGTGTACACCACCACGTCTCTCCTAGAATATGATCTGGACCCTGGGGGACATTCTCCTGAGTAGCTAGTCTGAGGGTTCTAGGCTGCTCAAGGAAATCTACTGAAAATGGAAGCCAGCCAGGGGTCCCTGGAGGATATCAGCTACACTACCAGACAGCAGATGGGTGTGGGAAAGGGATAGAGCCAGACACTAGCCCCGGGGAGATAGGAGAATAAGTCCCTGGTGCCCAGGGTCTCAGGCTAACCTTTCCAAGCCTCACTGTTCTGAAATCCCAGACTCCAGGGCGGGGAAAGATGGATGCTTAGCAGATGCAGGCTCAGGAGAGACGTGTTAGCTCCTGCCTGCTCCCACTGCCCCCAGAACTGCCTTGCGTCAGCTTGTCTCTTCTTGTCACCCGTGCCAAGAGCTGTGAGAATGGGAACCAGGCGCTCCCAAACCAGGTCGTATTGGAATCTTGCTCTCTGTTGAGCTTCTCTGTGGCTAAACTTGGGGGCTCTGGCGTGTGTCAGTTCTAATGTGAGGCTTTGGCCAGGTGGTCTCCTCTCACCTCAACTTTGCCGTGTATGAAATGGACCTGAGCAGATCTTCTCTTCTTCCTCAGGATCAAGTGTGATGGTTACTGAAATTGGTATTGGAAGGAGTTAGGGTGACATCAAGGACTGAGCAGTGGCAGAGAAAGCACCTGAGGACTTCATGGTCCTGGCTGAATGTCTTTGTGCATTCTTCTTGACCCATGGAGACTCCAGTTATCTCAGCATGGCCCCCTCCAAGGTGACCTCTGCTGAGAGCAACCAGACAGCGTTTCCATGGATCTGTGTAGTGTTAGATAGACATGGACCTCTGACCTCCAAAGAGTTCCTTTACCTCTGCCAACCTCATGTTCTTCACGTGCGAACTAGGTCATCCTTTGGAGGGGACATGTGGGCTGTGAGTGGTGAACAGCTGAGAGTACTGGGTATGGTGGCAGGCATATACAGGACTATGTTGTGATGTCAGGTGACCATTTTATCAGTTCCCAAGCAGTGGGCAGCCCCCTGGGGGTAGAATCGCCCAGGCTATCCTTCCCTAAAGTTTGGGATGAAGCTCAATGGGCTTCTTTCCGGAAGTGCTGTGGGGAAGCAATGACTACTGGGAATGATTTTAGTGTTTTTTAACTACATCTTCTTTTTTGAGATATTTCCACAAATCTCTCCTGACGCCAAGCTCTCCACCCTTTTTCACAGTCACCTGTAACCCTTGGTTTATCACAGTCCTTGTTCAGGTCCTTCCCAGAGCAGTAAATTCGCTGTGGGAGCTCAGTCTGTGAAACTGCCTGATGGTTAATCATTTTCCCTGCTCTCCTGCGAAGCCCTTACTCACCTTCAAGACCCTCCCTAGCCCTGGAAATAAATCAGACTATCTCCCTCTCATATGAAGGCAACTGTTATTTTCCTTGGGGTTGTTCCTTGTGAAATGGGGCAGAGAACAGCAGGGCTAGCTCAGCTGGGAGCTGAACCCTGCAGTGAAGGCCAGGTTGGCTTCAGCACAGCCTTTTAGCCCTTACCTGGAGAAGTCCCAGGTTGCAGACTCTGATTTGCCTATGAGCACTTTAAAAATCCTTTTTATTCTTTTTTTATTTAAACAAATTATTTGTATATATAGATATTTTTCCTGGAGCTATATGTATCTCTGGTGCTGGCAAAAGCCAGAAAAGAGTATCAGATCTTCTGTAATTGCAATTACAGATGTTTTGAGCAGCTATGTGGAAGAGCACATAGCTATTTGGAAGAGTAGCCAGTGCTCTTAATCTCTGAGCCATCTCTCCACTCCTAAAATCCTTTTTAAATTAGTATATACTCATTGTAAAAAAAAGTAATGTGTTCCAATATGAAATTTTCTTTTAAAAAGATTTATTTTTTATTTTTCGTATGTATTAATGCTTTGCATGCATATATGCATGTGCATCACATGTGTGCAGTGCTCCCAGAGGCCAGAAGAGGGCATCAGACTCCCTAGAACTGAAGCCATCCATGAGTTCTCATTTGAGTGATGGGAACTGACCCGAGTCCTCTGCCACAGCAGTAAGGGCTCTTAATCACTACTCTCCAGACCCTCATTATGACTTTTCATACATGTATATCAGGCACTTTGATCATAGTCAAACCCCCATCACACTCTCTCTAGTTCTTTCCTTCTACTTTTGTGCTTACCCTCTCCACTTTTTAAATATAGGTTCCACAGTGAGGTAACTAACCATTCAATGTTTGTCTGAGTCTAGCTTATTTCATTTAACATGATGGTCTCTGGTGCTTTATGGTAGATAAAATTCCATTGTGTGCATGCACCTCATTGTCTTTCTCCACCCATCTGTTGATGGACAACCAGACATCTTGGTTATAGCAGACAGTTCTGGAGGAGTAAGGCAGAGTGCAAGTGGGCCAGTTTCCTCCTGATTGAGGCTGATGGCTAAACTTTGGGTCCTGAGGGTGATAGCCTGTGGCTGTCTCTTTATGGGTCTCCACTGGGGGGAGACTTTGAAAGTCATTTGCCACCTTGAGTGGAATCTCTGTGGTATGGCAGGGTCATCTGAAGTTCTGCTTTTAGTTTTTTTGAGGAATCTCCATAATGATTTCTATAATGGCTGAACCAGTTTATAACCTACCATTGGGTTGCTGTGGTACAGAAAAAGCCTGTTACTACTCTGGTGATCGGATGGCCAAACAACCTAACTGTCATTATAGAACCCTCATCTAGTGCCTGATGGAAGCAGATGCAGAGATCTAAGGCCAAGCCCCAGGAGGAGCTCCAGGAGTCCAATCAACGAGAGACAGAAGGGATTATATGAGCAAGAGATATCGAGACCATGATTGGAGAGAGCACGGGGATAAATAGCCAAACTGTCGGAAACACATGAACTGTGAACCAATACCTGAGGAGCCCCCATGGAAATGGACTAGGCCCTCTAGATAAGTGAGACAGCTGATTAGCTTGAACTGTTTAGGGGGGCCCCATGCAGTGGGACTAGGACCTGTCCTTGGTGTATGAGCTGGCTTTTTGGAACCTAGGGCCTATGCTGAGACACTTTGCTCAGCCTTGGTGCAGGGAGGAGGGGATTGGACATGCCTGAACTGAATCTACCAGGCTGGGCTGACTCCCCAGGGGAGACCTTGTCTTGGAGAAGGTGGGAATAGGAGGTGGAATTGGGGTGGGGGCCTGGGGGGGAGGGGAGACTGGGAATCCGTGGCTGATATGTAAATTTAAATTAATTATAAAATAAAAATATTAAAAAAACAAGAAAAAGAAAAATGTTACCCAGGAAGAGCTTAACAATGTCCTGGCTATTGTTGGGTTCATGGGAAGATGAGACCCAGGGCCACAGAGGATGACAGAGCTGACGCTGTAGGCAAGCCCTGGGAAGGACAGTGAAGAAGGATCAGCGGTCTTGACCCCTAGTGTGGTATCTCTCTGAGTGACAAGACACACACACTTGATCTCAGACCTGAGAGCCTAGGTGGTGCTGTGTCCAGAATCCTCTGGGACACAGATCTGCTCTCTCTCTCGCTCTCTCTCTCTCTCTCTCTCTCTCTCTCTCTCTCTCTCTCTCTCTCTCTCTCTCTCTTTGTGAGTGTGTGTGCGTGTGTGTCCACAAAGAGCTCTTTCATCTCCTTAGGTGCTCTGTGGACAGGATTTGGTTGGGGACTCAGAAAGGTTCACTCCTCTCTAAGTCCCCAACCAGAATCTGCCCGCCTAGAATCCTCAAGAGAGGACCTGGGGTATGGCTCAGTGGTGGAACACTTGCCTAGAATCTGTCCACCAGTGAGAGGGTGAGGATGTGTCTCAGTGGTACAGCACCTACCTAACGTGTGTAATGCTCTAGGTTCCATCTTCAGCACACTGTTGAGATGTGAGCTCCATATTGTGAGGACCTTCTGAAGTGGCATGCTGAGTGAGTGCCTCTCAGAAGTGTCCTTCCAAAGGTCATGGGGACTTTCTCCCCAAAGAGGCTTTGTCCCCACGTTCCTGCTTCTAGGTGCTATCCCCACCCCCAATGACACACACACTTTGGTGTAGGCCCCATTTCAGAAGCTGAATCCTCTGTCCTTACAAGAAAGCCCTGTGATTTGCATGGAGAGTCTGTGCAGCCTCTGGGGGTGAGCTGCTGTCTGCATCCATGAGGACAGCTCTGTTGTAAGAATATAACTTTAGAATCCAGCCTCTGCTAAGGCCATACTATCTACAGTAGTCTCTTCTCACAGATCCCAACAGGCTCCCTACTGAGACATTGTTTGTGAGTCCCAAGCTGACAGACTGTCCGGTTCTAGGATCTCTAGCCTGAGAAGTGACTTTACATCAAAAGGGTGTTGATGGCTTGGCTTCAGGCTTGTGCTGTGAAATCTTCCCCACTCGCAAAAGGTATAAAAACGGGGAAAAAACAGACCCAACTTCTGGGCTCTAACTCTTCTCTCCAGAATGTCACTGTGCTATCCGTCTGTCTCTGGCTCTAAGGCCTAAACTCTCCTCAGAAACTCCCAGTGTGCTGTTGCCTCTCTGTCTGTCTATGGCATTAATGAGTCTTCTAATGAACTCCTTACTCCCCAGTAATCCTTCTCCGTGTCCCTCTTGACCTCCTCCTCCTGAAACCTATCACTCACTTCACAGTGGCTGCTGACTTTCAGGCTAAGCCAGGAGGAACCCAAAGTACCATACTTTATGGTAGGTTCAAGGAGGTGCAAGCCAATGGCTTTGGCTTTATCACAAGTGTCTGCCATGCAGAAAAGGTATGACAAATGAGTCATCCTGTTTTGTTGCTATAGCATGATTGCTTGATTTCAGAACTCAGACAACCGGGCAGCTCAGAGACCAAATGACATCCCCCAAGGCCAAGCACCACCTGCAGACATGTTTACTCTTATCCAGGGAGTGCTGAAACCTTAAATAGTTGTAACCATTAAAGGATTTAGACATTTGTGTGTGTGTGTGTGTGTGTGTGTGTGTGTGTGTGTGTGTGTGTGTTGTGCTGTGTACAATAAAAAACAAAAGCAAAAAACAAAAAAAAAAAATCCAAATTTTTAAAAGCTTTCCAGTGGTACCGAAAATGAAATTAGTCAGCATGGATTGGGCTAAGGTCTGGGATTGTCAGTTTAGGGGTACTTGGAATGCTGGCCAGAAACTTCCTACCTTCTTTTGGGAGCACCTCAGTTTTGTTTGTGTTCAGAGATCCACAGGGTTTCCTGGAGTCTTTTCCCACTTGCTGAAATAGCTGCCCTGGGGCTGCCTCCTGCCTAGATCTTAAGAGGGCCCCTGCTGCTCAGAGAACTGTGTGTTTTTCCTGATGGCATAAAATATGTCTAGTGAAGAACTGGCTCCTGCGCATCCTATCCTGGAAACAGAGTTAAGAGCAAGCAGGAAGGCTGACGGAAGAAAACAAGGCCTTTCTCCGCTGGTTCATTTTCGTCTTTCAAAGGTCCTTAAATTTGTATGTATCCTTAAGTACCCCATAATTAAGCTCTGGAAGTGGGAGGTTGGAGGATGGGGCCACATAAAGAATCCTGCAGCTTTTCTTACGTAACCCTCAACCAATGAGTGGGATTGGAGGACCCTCTCAAGAGGCAGGGTGCTCAGCATCTGGTCTCCAAGAGGCCCTGCCAGGCCTCAACTTTAGGGGCTGCTTGATTCTATTTGTGGGTTTTAGATTTCAAGTAAGCCTGCCTGAGATGGTCTCTCAGTGTGGTGACACCTCCCCTTGAGTAGCTGGGTATCTGGTTCCAAGCAAATCAACTCCTCTGAGGCTCCAGTTTCTCCAGCTGTGAGGACACAAGACTGTTAAGAGTTCCACGCCTTCTAGAACATCAATTGTCAGTGTTAAATTTTACTTTCTTTGGTTGTGGTGGGAATGGAACTGGGACCTTGAATTTACAAGTGTTCTGCACTGAGTCAGGACCCCAGCTCCTCACTGGTGGGTCTAGACAAGCACTCTGCACCACACTCCAGTCCTTCACTGGTAGAATCTAGACAAATGCTCTAAAACTGAGCCATGCCCTCAGCTCCATTGATGATGCAAAAATCACTACTCTCATCTTAAAGGAAATAAGAGAGTTTAATCTAGAGCCTTATTGAGTGACCATGGCCCAGGAACATAGATTCAGGTCACCCCTAATTCCATGCTCCAATGTGGAAGCAATCTCATGAAGTTTTACAGTTTTATAGAACAAAGGGAGTCATAAATCAAGGCAAGTAAAGTTTAAGATACATTGGTGGCTACATCAGAGAGGCAGGTACAGTGAGACAGGGAAGTTTTCTATAGCCCCAAGATGCTATCTGAGCTTTTGGGTTGGTGGAAGCTAGTGTTCTGCTAAGTTAATAGATTCTAAAATGTCTTATTTATTACTCACAGGATGCTAGTTCAGACACAGAGGTGGGCAAGGAATGGCTATTCTGGGGAGGCTAGAGCTAGCCTTAGATAAGGTAACTAGCCTTCGGATCTGCAACATTCCAGTTTCTCCGCAGTATTGAGATTCTAAGCATACAATCAGTCTTTGCAGCCATATATTCTTTTCAGGAGTTTTTATTCTTACTACTTACTTGTGGATTGTAGGCAAGTGCTCTACCACTGAGCCTCACTCCCAGCCCCTCACTGGGGGGTTCTGTAGGCTGTGCAGCATGCTCCAGGTTTCTAGCTTTTGTAAGCTGTCACCCATGCTGGCATGGGCTTTTGGTAATACATTGGAGTGTTTTCTGCTGCTGTAAGTAACCCCAATAAAACTCATTGGTTCACCAAGTGGGAATTCGGTGGTATTTCTACTTTGGTTTGTCCTGGGCTCCCAATCTGGGGTGATAGACATTTGTTTATATCTCGCCAGGAATAGTGTTAACACAACAGTAATTTTTCAGCTTTTGAAACCACATCACTCCAAGGTTGTAATTTACAACCATGTTCAGGGTTTTAAAAATACAAGTTAGTTCACCTATTTTCTTACCTTAGCCTTTCCTTTTGTAAATACACCCATGAGGTGGTTTGGAAGGTGCATTGTTCAGGTTTAGGCATGAGAGGAGTGCTGATTAGGAGATATTGAAAGGTCATTGTTTGAGATCTCCCTGAGAAAATGGAGCAGTGTCTCCATAGGTGATCTTCACGGTGATTCTGACCTTGTCAGTTGTATTGAAGTTCTTGATTTTCAGCCAGCAAGTGCCAAGGTTGGGGTGGTTCCGCTCTCCTCCCATGTCGCCATGCCTTCTTCCCCTGCCTCAGTTGGACTCTGTCCTTATCTTGGGCACTTCGAGGGATACCTTTGTCTCCGTGGGCACGAGGGGGGAGGAGGGAGCTTAGTGAGAACACGGCTGGCCTTTATCTGTGGCTGCAGCAGTGTCCCCAGGGAGGTGACAGAGCGACTGTGCCTCCTGGAGCCTTCACCTCCCGAGGCCTGGGGTGGTGGCACTGACAGTGAAATTAAAATCCTCTCCCTCCCTTATCAGCTTCCCCAGAAGCCTGTCTAGGAGGCAGTGCTTACTCCAAGCCAGCCAGGGTGTCTAAATATCAGTATCTTTTCCACAGCCCAGGCTTCGAAGTCACAGCAGCTTAGCAAGGGGCTTTAAAAATGAGTATTTACTGCTTTTGTTCAGCTTATAAATGTCATACATGTTTACCAGGAATAATTTAGGAAATATGTGAAAAAAGTAAATAAAAGAATAAAACCCTCCACAATGCCTCTCTGAGACAGATATTCTAAACTCAGAGAAATTCTATTTAGACTTTACCTACTTCCTTCATTCCTTCTCTCATTCATTCTTTCTTTAATTTTTTTTGCTATAAAGTAAGTAAAAAAAATAATAATACAGGTAAAATACAGCCCAACTCAAAGTTTTTTTTCTTTTTATTAAGAGATTTTTCTACTCGTTTTACATATCAACCACAGATTCCCCTGTCCTCCCTTCTCCCACCCCCCATTCCCACCTCCTTCAAGGCAAGGTCTCCCCTGGGGATTCAGCAAATCTGGTACATTTAGCTGAGGCAGATCCAATCCGCTCCTCCCTGCACCAAGGCTGAGCAAAGTGTCTCAGCATAGGCACTAGGTTCCAAATGGTATCTCTTTCCTTGTTCTCCCACTCTGTTCCTGATCCAGCTCATGCACAAAGGACAGGTCCCTCGGTCTCACTGCCTGGGGGCCCCCTAAACAGTTCAAGCTAAACAACTGTCTCACTTATCTAGAGGGCCTGGTCCAGTTCCATGGGGGCTCCTCAGTTATTGGTTCACAGTTCATGTGTTTCCACTAGTTTGGCTAGTTGTCTCTGTACTTTTTCCAGTCATGGTCTCGATCTCTCTTGCTCATATAAATCCTCCTCTCTCTCGTCGATTGGATCCTGGAGCTCCACCTGGGGCTTGGCCTTAGATCTCTGCATCTGCTTCCACCAGGCACTAGATGAGGGTTCTATGATGACAGTTAGAGTGTTCAGCCATCCAATCACCAGAGCAGGTCAGCTCAGGCACCCTCTTGACCATTGCCAGTAGTCTATAGCGGAGTCATCTTTGTGGATTTCTGGTGACCTCTCTAGCACTCTGCTTCTTCGTATTCCCATGGTGTCTTCTTTTATCATGGTATCTCTTTCCTTGTTCTCCCACTCTGTTCCTGATCCAGCTAGGATCTCGAGCTCCCCTAAGCTCTCTTTCCCTGACCCTTGCCCTCTATTACCCCTACCCCCAGTTTGCTCATATAGATCTCAACCACTTCTCCATTGTTGGGCGATCCTTGTGTCTTTCCTAGGGTCTAACTCATAGTCTTATCAGGAACCTACCTTTTTATGTCCTTCTACCTCTCCTTGTCCCTCTTTCTTCCCTTCTCTTTCCTCTTCTTACCTCAGGAATCTGGCTGTGGGCCAGTTGAAGCCCTTCAGGTCACCTCCTGAAATAGTATGCATCCATCTTTATCTGTTGTATGTGTTTTTGATTTTAATGTTCAGTTTGCCTGTTATATTATAGATTATATGGTTTTGTTGTTGATGATATATGTGTGTGTTCACTACACACATGTGCACTCACACACACACACATACACACACACCTATATATACACGAGAGGTAGAAAAAGGTCTTAGACAATGAAGAACTGCCACCATGGAGCCAGTCTTCACTCCACCTTCTGTCCAGGAAGGTTTTTAACTGATGATCCCCTTGCCTTCATTTCCCAAGTAGCTGGGACTAAAGGTCTGTGACACCAGGCTGTTGGTTCCTTTCTGTAGAAGTCTCTCTGGAGTTGTTACTTACTCTTAGGTCATTGCTCTTTATAGTCTGTCCATATGTTTTTAGTTTTAATGGCTCGGAGAAACACTCTTTTGGTCTTAGTCTTGATCACCCAGGTACTGACTTTCAAAATGACTATCATCGTGGTTAGGGTTTTTTGGTTTTTTGTCAAATTGATATAACCTAGAGAGAATTTCAAGTGAAGAACTGCCCCCAAAAGATTAGCCTGTGTCTGTATGTGGGGGACACTTTCTCGACTGGTAATTGACTTAGGAGGGCCTGGACACTGTTGGTAGCACCATCCCCCGGCAGGTGGGTCTAGACTGTATAAGAAAGCTAGCTGAGCATGAGCCAGTGAGCAAACCAGTAAGCAGAGCCTTTCATGGTTTCTGATTCAGTTCCTGTCCTGACCTCCTGTGATATACTGTGACCTGGAAGTGTAAGCTGAAATAAAGTCCATCTTTCCCTAAGTTATTTTTGATCATTGTGTTCATCACAACAGAAAACAGAAAACTGGGACAGTTGTTACATAATTCTTCTGTTTCTGCTACAGATATATCTACTTGGCTATTCTTTGGAAATAAGTGACTCTCCAATGCATTAACTATTTCTCTTGATAGTGGTGTTTGCTTTTCTTCTGTGTAAAATGCTTCAGTAAGCTCTGCTGATGCTTATGTTAGATTTTGGTGTAGCAGAAGCAAAATACTCCCAAGAACAAATTAAAAGGAGCAGGGTGGTGGTGGGGGGTGTTAGTTGGTTGTTGGAAGGCTCCTGTTCATCATGGTTGGGAGGGAGTTGTGGACAGAAGCCTTGGTGACCATGGCAGATAGGAAGCAGAGGGGAACCTCTGCAGACATGCCACCAAGCAGGCCTCATCTTCTATAGCTCAATCACCTCCTAGGAGGCTTCAAATTTGAGTCCATCAATGGATTAAACCATTCATTAGTACAGAGTGCTTGTGGTCCAAGTATCTCTAGAATCAAGATCTTGATAAATTTATTAACATAAAAATAGAAGAATCCCAGCACTTGAGAGATAGAGGGAGGAGGATTGGAATTTCACCAATCCTGGTGTCTCTCAATCCAATTAAGTTGGCCATCCAAATTGACCATCTCAGGTGGCTGTAGATGTATCCAACCGTCTTATCAAATAAGAAACACAGAGCAGATTCAGAGAAGAAAGCCAAGAGGTCAGAGCTAAGAGCCTCACCCTTCCTGATTCAGGGATCCTCTTCAGCCAAG